GGGCAGGATATGGAGCAGAGAAGGTTATAGTTTTGGGTTGTGGAAATTAAAAAAAAAAAAAGTTTCAGGCAGATCGAATGTCAGCTACTGAAGGATTTGGATATCTGCAGTACTATGCGCTTTTTTTTTTTTTCCAGAAGAATAAAATAAAAGCATATTTACTATGTTTTTCCCAAATATTTAGTAATGTAATTGTAAACAGTTCTGCTTTTTAAAGCATATAAAAATACATTTAAAAATATCCTCACACTTTCTCCTTGAAAATCTGTAAGTGTACGAAGTCTTCTAACAATGGTGAACACTACTGCAGCTGCAATTAAAAAAATAGTAGTAGCCCTTTATTTAAGACTAGTTCTCTGCTAGCAGGTAAGTATTTTTATTATGAATTAGTAATATTCTCTATCCTGTGAATTTTAAAGTCCTTTTGAAATGAATTTCTGTTCATTTCTTTATAGAGGCTTAAGATGGTGCATGGGTCGAATAAAAACTTGAGAGCACCTGAGGAACATTCCCAGCAAGTGCAGATTATTATCGAAGATGTACACAGCATACCTATAGTCACTGTATGGTTCTTTTACTGCATTAGGTTGTTAAAGATCACTCAGTGATGGCTCAAAATATGCTCAGCGAATCTGAAGGCATATTTGGATTTTATTTGTAATGTTTAGAGACATTTGTGTCTGTTTAAAAAAAAAAATCAATTTTGAAGACCTCTTTTATCTCAAAAGGAAATTTTCACCTAAAGATTTCTCATTCTCTTTATATTTAGAGGATTTGTATCAACACCTAGGGTAAAGGTAAAGCTGAAAAAAGTCTAGGCAGTCCTTTGAAGGATTAGGAAATGTGATGTGTAAAGCTATTTGTGTTTACATCACTATGTAGTTTATAGGAAATGTATGAAATCAGCCGTGGATTTTGCTCTAAGATTTGAGTTCTAGCTGGTTCTTTGGCTCAGGTGTGACTCACAGGTCCTCCTCATCGTTAGTGGTCTTCAAACTTGACAGAGCATTAGTTATCAAGGGCGGTGAGGGAGCTGCTTTTCCCAGTGGAGTTTCCAGTCATTGAGTTTTTACTTGAAGTTAGAGAACTTGTCCTGCTCTTGTCCCAGAGCTGCCTTCTGTCTTCAGCCACGCACCTTCCAGTAACTTCAGGCGCTCAGTTTGATTTGGGTGATGTGGGTCACCAGCACCCTGAAAAGGATTCTCTTCCTAACCTGGAATTCTGGGCAAAATGTTTTGGGAAGCACAGACATAGAGTTTTCTACCCTTGTGGAGTTTTTTTAAAAAAAAAAAAAAAACAAAACCCAACACTTAGACTTATTTTTACAAATCTCAGAAGCATGTTTTACAAAAAGGTTCTAGTCTGAGCTTTTGAATTCATTAGCCTCTCTGATGAATGTTATAATTGTAGAGGGTAGCTACTTTCACCTATATATTGCCTATAGGGTCCACTTTTTGTATTTTGAGGGTGGTGAATGTAAAACTGCTTTGGCTACTTACATCCTCCTTCCTGCGTCCAGGAAATGTAAAGGTTCATGCCTGAATCATTAATGTTCTTGTAAGTGTGTTGATTTACCTAATGGATAATCATTCTGTGTAACAGTCTCTCTTGAGACTGGGTCGTTTCAGGTTCAGTAGTAGCCAACTATAACCCATGAGCAACAGGAGAATTTACCTTTGCTAATGCAATAAATAGGCTTTCGATCATGCTTGGCGAATGAGACCATCACACTAAGGCTTCTCTTATTAAAATTCCTTCAACTATAGCAGATGCAGCAGTATTGGGAAATTTTAGGGAAAGTAATAATTCCCCTTCTCCCTGTTGTTGTTTTAAAAGGTTCATCCAGACTTGAATTGAGTAGAAAAACTAATTGCTTTTCGTTTTAAAACTAGAAGCAACTCACAGGGGATCTAATTAAAATTCCAGTGTCTGGAAGGAAATACGCCATATAAATCTGAGAAAGATGTTGCTTAAATATTAGTAGTGTCTTTGTACCAGGCTGTACATGCTCAGAAGAGTTAGAACATCCACATAGTTAATTTTCAAAATTTTAAAACTATTATTACCCAATTTGTTGAGTTATTCTGAAGTCTTACTTTCATCGTAATCTGGAAAGTTTACAAAAGATTGATTAAAAGTAAAAAAGGCAATGACAGTTCATTGCATGTTCATGATAGTGTTGGGCAATAGGGTTTTTATTCAGAAAGGTCACCTTAACACAGTTGGGTTCATCCTCAGTAAAGCCTGAGAAATGGGAATGCGAAGACCAAGGTTCCTATCAAAACTGATCGACTTCCTTGCTTTGTGGTTAAGATCTGCATTACTACTTGAAGGCCTCACTACTGCATTTTGTTCAGACTCAAAATGTTTCTTCAGCTTTCTGCTCTGCTATCAAGTAAATGGTGGCAACCAAAAGCTAGCTGTGTGCTGCTACCAGCACGTACATCGTTTATATGCTTGTAGCTATCTAAGCTTTCTTCTATCTTCATTATATTTGAGACAGGTGGTACACAGTGTACTTAAACTTTTTTTTTAAATACTTAAGATTTGTGCGTGCTGGAAGGCTGGTAATTCTGTAGCGAACGTTAAGATTTTTGGCTGTTTGTGTTAGCATTCAGCAAATAGTATACCTTATGTAGAAGACCACAGAAAAAAACACCTTGTAAGAATTTTCGTGCTCGGGCTGATTCTTCTCATGGCGATATTGCAAATGGTTCAGCATTTTTCCTCCCGGCCCCAGCTCCTGCAGTGAATTGTTTACAACTTAACTTCTGTGTTTAACTGTTAAACACATAGTTATTAGGGGTGGTAAATAACTAGAGATCGCATATAACAGATGAAGAAAAAGAGGATGCAGTAATTGTTTGTGCGCTTGTAGCTATCTGAGCTTTCTTCTGTCTTTCCTGCGAGTTTGCAGTGCCATCTAGACTGTCAAGCCACTCTTGTTGTTTCTTAGTTCAAAAGCAGTATCAAGTCTACATTTTTCCACTGTGACCACAGGAATTAAAATGCATACAAGCTTAATAAATATAACAAAGCAGCAAAAATCACCTTGCTATTGATTTTTGAGACCTCTTCTGTGCCCTGAAAGCCTCGTACCCAGGACATACTGAGAATCTAATGGGTTAGATGGTCTTGGGTTTGGGATGAAGGTTTGCATTGTGTCATATTAGACTCTGAACCTGTTAATTCTTAATGCCTTACCACACACACTCAAAAGAAAACCAGCCCAAAGGAGACCAAACCTATTAAAGGAGACCAATGCTTTTAACATCGTCCTTTGTTTTTAATCCAGTTTGCTCTTGGTGAAGCAGATTGTGGAGTGGCCTGTATTTCACTTGCCTCTCTGGTTCTCTCATCAGCCGGAGACATGTGTTAGTTCAGCCTAGGGCTGCTGTAATCTTCACCAGCTGGTGTTTCCCCCTGTAGACCTACGGACCTGATGGAGTTTGCTGACTGCTGTGGTGCGGCAGCTATCCTCGCCCCAAAGGCACCAACCAACTCGTTGCCCTCTCCCCTCTCTTACCTGCAGTCTCGCATGTCTGTGCGATTTTCACAGGCAAAAAGTGGGGAGATGGTGTTGGAGGCTTTGTGGGAACTACTTGGATAGCTGAAGTACAAGTGAAAGTTGTCCTCAGCTGGGTGCTTTGCTTATATTCAGTTTCTGCTCAGCATGGTAATGAGGGTATGTGACTAATTTGTGTTCAAATGAATGCAGCTTGCGTATAGACTGAAATACATTGCTGGATGGGAATGTAAAATACACCTGGTGCTGGCTTCATCTGGGGGAGCTGGGCACCTGCGGCTCCTCATGAAATGGAGGCGAGTCCTTGGCAGCTAAGTCACCACTGAGGAACTTTTGCTTCTGACAGGTCCTGATTTTTACCTTATTGCCTATGTTCCACCCAACTTTTTAAATAAATTCATTTTAAATGGGATCTAAATTTGAAGACTTTTCGGATAACCACAGGTATAAGAACCTTGCGGTACATTGCTCTGCATTGCTTCCCTTTATTGTCCTACTTATTTTAATGTTATTTTACTGTCTGCGCTCAAAGAAATCGCTGTTGACACATATTTCCTATGTATAGTTTCTTTTGTGCTTGTATTAAGGATCTGAAAGAGCAAACCACTTAAGAATATGCCTGATAGTAAGAGCAGACTCATTGACGTGAAGCTTCTGATTCATCTTATAAATTTCAAAGGTTTTTGCAATTGATCTCTAAATGATTCTGGCTTTCAGAAAGGCTTTCTATGGAGTGGTTGCTTCTTGCTTTGAAATAAAATACGTTGTGATATTCCACTTACCAACCATATGCATGTACATCACATGACAAAGCCTGGAGAGAAGGTTCTTGTGCTGAATGAGAATAAAGTGGCATTATTTTTTCTTCAGTTCATGAATTCACTGGAATGTTTGTTTTCATGGTAGAAGTATCATTTCAGAGGATTGGTAGTTAGATTGGTATGCTCATACCTTATGGTGTGATCATCATAGATCTGTGTGTAATCCTTATATTATCATGTGCAGTTCCTTTGTACGTCCTTTTTTTGTCCCCAGTGAATTCTGCATTCAGCGTCGATAAACGTTGTGAGAGAAGTACAGAGATACTTTCTTACTCATTATTATTCCTGACAGTGTCATCAATGTCATTTCTAATTCAGGTTTTTATTGAGAAGTGTTAGGAAAAAGTTGTGTGTAGGAATTACTGAAAAATATTAGGAGATTAGATTCTGTATATGTGGTGCATTACATCTTAAGTTATTTTAAAAGGAAAAATACGGGTACTTCCACATCAGTCAAAACATTTCTTTAGCAAACTAATGCTCAAATGATCAAATGCTGCATGTTGTCAATTATTTGTGACTAGAAATTGTTGTAGTCACAAAAAACCCGAAGTATTTCTGCACCAGGAAAAGCTACACATCAGTTTGTTGCAAATGCTAATGAAATGTTAAGTGTTTTTTTTTGTTGTTGTTGTTTTTACTTTCTCAAACAGGTGGCAGCCCTTTGGACAGTCCCAGGAACTTCTCTCCAAATGCACCTGCTCATTTTTCCTTTGTTCCTGCCCGAAGGTAAGTCAGTATATATTCTCCCTGGATTGGCAAGCACATGGCTCATGTATTTTTATTCAGAAATTGGCTACTGGTTAGAAGTTTTGGGATTCTGTTTCATCATGAGCCTGATCTTTAGGCCTAGGGCTGAGAATCTTCCCGGGTATTCCTGTAGCATCCCTTGCTTCTGGTTACTTTCTCTCATGCTCCCGGTTTTGTTTTTATTTATTTTAGTTTAGATCTTGGCAACACCCGGAACGCGTTAGGTGCTTTTCAGACATAGAGGAATGTCAAGGAAATAAATGAACGCAGGTCTAGGGAAGCCCCTCCTGGCAGGATGATGTGATGTGAAGAACGGCAGTGATAACTGCATCTCTGTGGCAATCGGATCCTCAGATTTGAGTGTGGGCAAGGTGGTTCTGATTCGCTACAATCTCCCTGACTGAAAGGAACTACTTGTGTTAAAATGACTGGAGAAACGGGAACGTGATGGTTCTGAGATGAAGGAGGTTTTCTAAACAAGAAAGAGTTAGCTTGAGGACTAGCTAGAAAATGGATTGGTCTCAAAACTGCAAAGAAGAAAGAGTTTGGAAATGGGCAGGCTTATGAAATGGAGAGAGAAGCTGGAGAGAAGCTGTGTCTGAACAGTAGGTAAATCCTGGAATGTTTCTCCAGTCAGGTGCTTTGCTAGAAAGCCTGATCTCCTTGAACGCTGTTTCAAGCAGGCTTTGATCTTTATTTCTTACGGAAGAACAAACTTTATAATATCATGTGAAATGTGACCAAGTGGATACGTATGTTCCTGTTGCCTCAGAGAGAAAAATGAGTTAATTTTTTCACTGCTGGTAAAACAATTCGAGTGGACTCGCTGCACCCACCTTTATTTTTGATGAGGTGTCTGAGCCTTGTCTGGGTGTACTCAAGATAGCCTACTGAAGTCAACTGAATTTGAACGAGTGTTCCCAGCATTTTAAGTTCTGGACCCTGGAATGCAGAAGGAAAGTTGCAGCTGAAACCGTTGTCAAAGCTTACATCTTTTGTTGGCTGTTTCAGTTGTTTTACTACTAATCCTTTTTAAACTTCCAAGCAGAAGATCAACACTTTAATAATAAAACTCTGAAGAGTGCCTTTTCATACTTCTCATACTTCTTCACTTAACTGTTTTTTAGAGACATTGATGAATAAAAGGTTAAATCTGCCCTGTCAAATACTGTAGATCATTTTACAATGTATGTGTTGCTCTGTATACTTTTTCTGTCTTTGAAAGGAGTGTTTAAACATAGAAGTAAGTTTCTGAAACAAGCTGTTTTCTACTTGCCTTACACCCTGAAGGTTACTGTTCATAGTAATGCCAGTAGTACCAACATATATTTATTAGATTATCCAGTAGTGGTATCAGGAGAAACTTCTGTGTGATGGTATTAAGTAATTGAAAATGTTGTGCTCTGTTATCCCAGGAAAATGGAGATTGCATTGTACCCTTTTGGCCTGTATTGTGTTGGTCTTAGAGATGGTTCTTACCTGATTTATTCGCCTTACCATCATGAAAATAATTGAGTCACTTTTACATTTGGTGTAATTTCTTCAGTTGTTATCCTGTTTGAACATTGTTTATTTTCCCATTTATTCAGTATGGCCTTGTGATGAGCTCTTTCTCAGGACAGAATGGGAAACGCATTTTACTTTAAAGCTAATTTCACTACAAAATATTGCAAGACTGCTCTTGCAATATGTGTATATCATAATTAACCATGAATCTCTTGCTGGATACGCTTTCAGTGATTGTTTCATATCTACAAAGTTAGTGTGTTCGGAAATCTCTTGTATGAATAAGGAAATGCATGATTAATCCTGTCCATGTTCAGTAAAAGTGGATCTTAGTGGAATACCGGTAACAGAAGATGATATTTTTTCAGCAATCATATGTGCTTCTTATACTTCCCCCTCGCTCATTATCATTGTACAATTTCTTCCATACAGCCACGGGCACAGAGCAGACAGGTAACGTGTATCATATTGCTGTTGTGTGTGTGTGTGTGTGTATGAACTATGCTTTTGCATGGTTGGGCATGAGCCTGTGTCCCTAACGAGTTCATGCTATAACAACCCCATTTAGGCATTGAGCTTTTATTCTTTGGTACTCAAAATGAGAAATCTTTGCATTTTGTCTTAAGATGATTAATGGGTAGCGTTCTGCAAAAGATGCTGTGTTCTTCTAGTGCCTTTGTGTTTTGAAATTGATCTAGTGTTCATAGAACGGTTATTATAGTTGCCATAAAAATACTTCCTTAAATAACTTATTAACATGTCACTTTAATGGCAGAGTTAATTGTTCCTGCATGTTTTGGTTGTGCTAGTAGAGGTTATTTTAAAATAAATGACCTAAAAATTTATTTCAAAGTATCTTTTCTTAATGCAATATTGCAGAAGATCTCTCTAAAAATACATTGTTTTTAACCAAACATTGAAATAATTTTGAAATATTTTGCATAAATGAAAGAAGAATTTTCTTTTGAAGTCTTTCTACCATTGTCTTTGATTTGAAAGTTTAAAGATTTTTGCTCTTGTCCCAATTCTCTCTGCTAGATATAGAGCTAATATTCATTGCCTTTACTGCTTAGCACATCGCTTGCCCAGATTGCATCAGTGGAAAATAGCCTAAGCATGAAGAAGTGTCCTGTAATTTTCTGTGTGAGAAGGATTTTTTTTTTTTTTTTTTTAACATCGTCGGAATCGAAATAGGGAAGTAATTTCAATATACAATTGAGGCTGCACAAAAAAAAAAAAGGGTTAGGCTTTTCTTTTGCAAAGAAACTGTAATTTGTGCATTCCTATCTATTGTTTTGTAAGATAGGAACATATATTATCATGCTGTGGAACAGAAGTTCTGGTACTGGTACCAGAACTGGTACGAGGTACTCATTTTTTTTTATCTAGAAAATGAGTGAAGATCTCTGTAGGTAAAGTTTGGTGTTCACTCACTGACCTCATGATGCAGTGACTTTGTAATGTTGACATTTATTGTTTTTTGGGGCTTAGGAAAGGAATTTCATCTCTTTTGGAATTTTTTTTGAGATTGTTCTTTTACATGTATTTCTCTTACCAAAGAAAATATCACCTGTGGCTAAATGGGGTTTAACTATAAAGTGTGCATGCAATAGAAATCTACTTTACAGCTTGCATTTTTTTATGGATGTAGCATGAACCTCTTTAAAAACTCTCTTGATATAATATTCTTCCAGTAATATAAAGTAGTGGGTTTATTCCCCTCTTACTCTAAAATAGATAGCAAAGAGGAGGGGTGTGTGTCAGTACCTAACAGTAAAAGGAACTAGATCTGGGGAAAAATACAAGCATGTGCTTAAGTCTGAATGTGCACTGAACTTTCCCTTAAAGATGAGGCTTTAGGTGTGTGGATAGTGGGATGAGAAATATTATTGCGATATTATTGTGAAGATAATACTGTTCTATAATACTGTTTTAAAATACTGTTTACTGTACCAATAGCTGTCAAACATCCTATTTTATATAGTGCAATTACATAAATGTACTGTACTTTTTATGTGTACCAAAAAACCCAAGTCTTTGCAGAGTAAGTTAGAAGTTCTAACTGCTCTAATTCAACTTCCCTTTATGGCCAGTTACTGATGATTTGCCTTAATAAAACGAACAAACAAATGGAAACTGGTATGAGGAAAAGACTTCTTTAACATCCATCCCAGCATGGAACAGGGTACATTTGTCTGTGACTGGGAACTAAACGCACATGAGAGTGAAATGAAAGCAGAGGCAGAGGAAGTGCTGCTAGACTGAGCTGAATTAGTTCAATTTCCTTCCTCCCTGAGATGTTTTTTTGAGGGGGGAGAAGAGGGTTTCAAGGATGGAAATATTGATTCTCCTCAAAGCAGTTGTATAGTTCATATGTTTTGACTTCCATAAAACAAGACCACTTTTTCGGCGATATCTCCTGCATGTTTTGGCTATTTTCCCTGCAGTCATGTTTTATTCTATAGCTTTTTTAACGTGCTCATTATTTCCAGGAAAGAAAAAAGTTTTCCTTGGCTAATAATAGGCAAATGACTACTAATGTTATGATGATTGGAGAGGAAAGAGACCTTGGGTGGTATTTCTGACTCCCGTATATTTGAAGTGAACATGTAGGCTCTGTTCAGATCTGCTGTAGTAGGCTGAATTCCCTGGCTGTGTCAGTTGATGATACAGGCAGAACGCGTTCAAACTAGGCAAACAAATGAGTCGTCTTGTAGTTGATTCTTGATCTGATATGATTTTTTTTTTTCCTCCTTCAATTTTAAACATTATTTGGAAGTTAAGGAATGGCATAAGTAATGATCGTAGGCATGACTGTCTGTTTGAAAGAAGTCTAAAATAAACTGATTGCATTTGTCCGTTCTTGAAACTTTGATTTTTTGCACAGCGGGTAATGTTTCCGAAGCATCTACTTGATGGCGGGAATCTGATGTCCATTTGTTTTGTTATTTTTTCCAAGGTCACTTTAATTTTGCTCTAAAAAACTTACCTCAACTGCTTTTTCACAAAAGTCGTTGTCAACAGGTTGACTGGTTTACCTGAATATTTTGAGACATTTAATCAAAATGTGAGGTTAAAAGATTTTGGGGAAAAATTGCTCACTTTGCCTAAATATTAGCCACATTATAGCCATCGTAGTAATTTCCCCTGCATCTTTTCCCCAGAACGGATGGGCGTCGCTGGTCCCTGGCCTCTCTCCCTTCATCTGGATATGGAACAAACACTCCCAGTTCAACCGTTTCAGTAAGTGGCACAGACTTTTCCAAACAATTCAGTTTGTAGAAACACCCTAACAAATCAGCTTCTGAGTCTTTACTAAAATATGTGATCTTTCTTCATTGTTTTGCTAACATTTTTTTAAGATACTAATTATTTTAAAAATGATTTTAATTATTGGTTGTGCTGCTTTTTCCTCCATTCCCCAGCTCCTACCATCTTGCACTTTGCCTTTAGCATTGGTGAATCCCATGCAGCACGTGGCTCGACTGCTCAGTTGAGAGGCACCAAGTGTCAGAAATAGCAGGACTCTCAGAGACTGTGTGCATAACTGCTAGCAAGCTTTCAGATTTTTTTTTATAACTGGGCAATGACATTCTTGTCTGCTTTTGAGTTGTCAGTGTTAAGACCTCTGCTAGCAGGAGGAAAAACTGATAATACCTATCTGTTACTTAACTCTAATAATTTGAATCCCCTAACAAAGCTTTTATTTCTCAGACATGTGATTTTAAAGGTGGCCTGAGTTCTAGTATACTTCCAAAAGGCTAATATGTCATTAATATCAGTAAGGCAGCAGCACCCTTTTAACCCATAAAACTCTCAGAAGCTTCACACAGTGAATCTTATTCTTTAGTTTGCATGAACTAGACGTTGTGGTTATCCACATAACTGCGTTATGGGAACATTGGTAGTGTTACAAAATCAAGCATCCGAGGATTGCAAATGAAGGGTTAAGGATACCTGTGCAGGCTTAATTCAACACGCTTTTGTGGGTATGTTATGGTGACTGTCTTTAATTGTGTGGTCACATATCACTGCCTCTTTCCATAATGCTTCTACTGAGCGTTTTGTTTCGTATTTATTATTGAGCGTGCGTTCCTAGTAATTGTAATACCGGCATTTAATTAGGACTTGATACTCTACATTAGGCAGTTTTGACTCTGAAATGAAGTATCTTTCTCTTCCCTGTGGACTGTTCTATTAAGTTCATCTGTAAACTTTCTAGTGTCTCTCAAAATACAAATTTATCTTCAGAATTCCTTGGGAGACGAGAGGGTTAAATTCAGTCTATATATGAGGAGAAGGGACTGGAGTCAAAAGTTTCCACTGATTTTAGGTGTGAATTGCTATGATCAGAATCTGATTGTGCAATGTTAGTATCATCTGTTTTGTTTCATGTGTTCAGACACATTCCTGAGATTGTCGTTGGCACAAATTTCACAGTCTGGGTTGGGTTTTTTTTGTTTTATTTTGTTCTGTTTTGTTTTTTCTTCATTTTGGTCTCTTTTGAAATCAAGTCATCTGGCTTCTCTCTCCTGTAGGACAAATGTGTGTGTGAAGTGTAGAGAGAAGTTCATTAGCAACATGAAAAAGGTGCTCCTGGTTTCACTGCCAAGCGCTATTATATATTGAAGTACCAGAGAACAGCCATTAAGAAGGAGCTCTGCTTTTGCTTTTATAGTCTTAAGTTAAATGCTTATGGGCATAAGCCATGACCAAGTCCTCTTCTGCGTACAAGCTATGAAAGCTATGAGAGCACGGAGCACGGATGATTACTTTCTGTAGGGATGACATCTGAACAGTCTGATCATTGGTGATCACTGTGAGAGGTTCCAAGATGCACGTGAAGATGACACTGCTGGAAATCGAACTGCCAGCAGCATGAAAGTCCTTCTTCAGCATATGCGATGAGAAATTTTTCAAGAGTTTGTAGTTTGACCAGGCTTTGGGTAGATGTCCCTAGAGAGAGCAAAACTAACAGCAGCAGCAATCTTCTAGACACCTTTTTCTGATTTAGGAAAGAAAGCATATTCTTCTTTTGCCACATTGCCAGAAATAGCTAAATCACTCTGACTGAAACTTTTCCAAAAACAACCCAACTCTGAGACGGACACATCACATAAAAAGCTTCAGTGCAAATGGTTTAAATATCGTATGGTTGTAAGCAACAGAAAATAGGATGGCATAATGAGAAGCATGAGGTGATAGTCATAGGTAGATCTGAATTCACCTTTGTACAGTAAAGAGTTATATTAAAACCTATATTTCCAAGACTTTTTTCCGAAGTGGCTGAGTCTCATTTCTTATCTGGTTACTAGTCCAGTTTTACAATCACAGAAAGACCCTGAAATGTGCTGTGTAGTAGTGAAGTCATTTTTGGAATCTTTGGAATTAAACTTTTCTAAGCCAGTCCTACTTACAGCTTCTCTGTGGCATTTACATTGTCACAGTATTTCATAACTCAGAATTAACCTTAATTGATCTGAATAACGCCTCTGAAGTTGATAGGCATTATTACTTCTGTGCAGACTTGAAAACTGAAGTGAATTGGAAAGGGGCTTGTCAAAAGGACACAAGGAATTAATGCCATAGATGAGAATACAGGGGAATTTTGGGCTTCCATTCAGTGTGTTCAGTCCTCTGGCTTACATTTCTTTTTAGAGCAAGGTAGAAGGAAGCCAGAAGGCAGTGAAATATCAAAAAGTATGGTATCAGTTAAAGCCTCTGTTCTGCTGGCTTGAATTTCTGTGTGGCAGTTACGAGTTGACCTGCATCTGTGTGCTTAAAGATCAGCTACTCTATCAACCAGCTGAACAAATTGAGACACTTAGCTGTTCTAAGGTCAGTGGAAACCTATATAATTTCTGTTTTATCTTTTCCTTCCTGCTGCCACTTTTCATATAAATCATGAAGACCACATGCGTCTCATCAGACCAACACTGAGAAAGCTGGAGAACAGTCAGTTGAATGGGCTAATATACAATTATTTTTAAACATTGAATTTTCTGTTTATTTTCTAGATTCAGAGGTAATGTGTAAGCTACTTACTGTAGTATTAGCTTGAAATCTTTTACTTGAGTTGAGCTGGCTAATTCTGTGTCTGTAATTAAGACACCAGGGGGATGTTTGTATTAATCTGCTGCAGAGACTGAATTCTGTGATGTGATTACTTAAAAATCAATAATGCAGAAGTGCTTTGCTCTCCTGCTGCTTCAGTGAAAGGTTGCATGCCTTAAGGCTGCTAGAGAAGCTCTTGGCAGAAGAAAGACCATTTCTCCTCACGGTCTTTATTTTCAGAGCTCTCCTTAATTATTCCCTGGAATTACAAACTTTGTGATCTGATTACTTTTAAGGAGAGAAAGTTGAAGGAGGATTTTGACGGGTCATCCCTAAGTTGCCTAGTACTTAAAAGTTGTTTCCCCAGTTGGAAGGAAAAAAGATTTTGAGACTTTTTCTAGAATATTAGTGTTTTTCTTCTAACTCTTGATATTAGTAACTTGGTATGTGCCAGCTCTTCTTAACGTGGTAGCTTGAGTTTAATTTTGTTTTGGATAGGAGATGCATTTGTGATGCCAGAGCTCGAGTACCTGTTACTGCAGCACTTTATAAGACAGCGTCTTTAGTACTTCTTGGTCTGTCGCAGCATTCCTGTTGTTTACTGCGGCTGGGATGCCATCCGACATATCTTCCTCTGGAAAAGTGCTGCTGTTTTTGCATAAGCAGGTGGTTTTTCCCACTCTTACTAGTGCATCCGCCAGGTGATAGGAGGCTTGCATAATTCCGTAATACGAAAAGCGAGTCTTTCATTTATTTGGCATAAGCGGAGCGCCCAGCAGAAGAGCTGTGGGCTAAGTGGCTGTCAAATACTCAGATTCTCCATCTTGGCTTCGGTGTGGATTAGACCAGTGTCAGCCGATGCACCGTCTGGATAATTGTCACCCTGGGGACTCTGTGCTGGAGATGACTTTCCAGCATGGTCCCTGAAGGTGCCTGAAGGAAGTGGCGGCTCCTTGTTCCGGCCACGGTTGGGGATTTTGTGCATGTTTTAAGACTTTCAAGGGGTTTCTTCTCTGTAAATACCTCTGCACAATGCAGAAGGAGTGGATCTGGGCTCTGGAGCCAATTATATTTTTATCAAAAGATATGGCCTAGAGGTTTGTAAGCGCTCATATTCGGTTCTCCATCTCCACCTTGTCTAAGATTCTCTATGGAGAAGACTCTGTGTAAGCTATTGGGATTTACAACACTGCTCGCTTTTTTGCGGTTCAAGCATTGCTGTTATTCTCTTGACAAATGTGGATACACCTGGTTTAGCTGATTTCAAGATATGTTCTCTTTGCTATCAGCATTACAAAGATGCAGGACTCACTGAACAGTCTTATCAGCATCTGGCTTTCCCTGCTTGGCCATACTTGTTAATTCTTTTTTTTCCAAAGGCCACCAAGAGCAAGTAAGTCTAGAAAAGCATGCTAGTTGAGTGAAAACTTTGGTCATTCAATTCAAATCATGCATAATTCCCTAGTATTGATACTTCTGGTACTAGGACTCTCTGCTTTCCAGTTTGAGTGAGGGTTGTTGTAGCAAAAAGATAAGTTTTTCCACTTGAAAATTATGTGCTGTTAATTACATCAGATTGATGGGGAGCCTGGGCATTTAGGTTAGGATTGCATTTTTCATCAGGCCCATTGGTGTTATTCGGTGCTGCTGTGGTTTAAAAAAAAAAAAAAAAGAGAGAGAGAGAGAGATATTTCTTGATTTGTCCTGACGTAATATGTCATCTTAATTTTGTAAGATGGCAAGGGGTATTTAAAAAAAAGTACCCATAAGAAAAACTGCATTCGTTAGTCAACCTATTACTTTTTCCCCTTGAAGACCTCATATTCAATTTCTTACCCAAATTTCTATTCACATTTCCCACACAGTTTTGTTTTAACCTCAGTTTTCTTGAGGTTCAAGAGTTAAATCTGTTTAATGTCTGTTGTTATGCCAGGACATGTTATATAAGTGCATCAGCCTACTTAAAGATGAATGAACTGTTTAACTCTTTATAACAGCTAAACAGGGGAAACTGTTTGTCTCACAACTCTGCGAAGTCAGCTACATTCATATTAGTATTGCCTGCTTGACTAGAGAAGAAGTCTGTGGGTTAAGAAAGGGAGAAGTGAAATCCAGACCATTTATAATAGCAATTTCCAATGAGAGCCAATAATCAGTAATAACTCTCATGTCTACGCAGCTCCATAGCATTCTGCATGCCAGTGAAGCTCCTGAGCTGAGAGAGCATGAGGGGAAAGGAAAGAAAGTTGCTCACCACTCCAGGAACCTCCTTGTCCTTTCCAGAGCAGCACTGCCATGAACGTGCCTTCCTTCCCATCTCCTTATAGTAAATCACCTCTGTGATTGGTTTTAATGGTTCCAGAATGAGATGTAACGGTCCCTCTCTCTGCTCCCAAAGTTGTCCTGGTCTCACCAGCTCTGCTGCTGTCTGTAAGGGTTGGCTTAGCCTCGTGAGAACAATAAAAAGAGGCACCTGGTCTGATAAGTAGCTTTCTTTTCCGCTGGAGTGTGCAGTGTCTGGCAGAATCCGTTCCTCTTCCATTCATTAGCTGACCCCTATGCATGCGTTTAGTGCATTTCTTTTCTGTATTTTTTTCTGTACTCAGTCATCATGCTCATCTCAGGAGAAGCTGCACCAGCTGCCCTTTCAGCCCACGGCAGACGAACTTCATTTCCTGACAAAGCATTTCAGTACTGAGAGCATCACCGATGAGGAAGGACGCCACTCTCCAGCCTTGAGGCCTCGATCTCGCAGTCTCAGGTGAGCATCAGGGAACGCTGGTTGGGTTTTTGTGGCGCTGCACGTGTTGCATTTTTATGTGTGCTTTCAGTTCTAAGGATAGTAATTTGTAGTTGTTTCCTTACATGTTTTTAGAATTATTCTAATCACTATTTACCGCACCTTTTTCTGGTTGGGGTAATCAGAAAGGACAATTTTTCATAGATAAGACATTGAGGATTTGAGTTGCAAAATGGATAGCGTAGTCTGTTTTTATGTCTTCACCAAAGCTCCAGAAAGCAGTGATCCACAAGCACCCCAGACTAAGACTGTAGGGTGTGTATTTCATTCCCTGAAGTTTCTTCTGAGAGTTTTGCTGCCTTAATAAAAGGAAATGGTTACGGTCACTGTTAATAACTTTTCCAGAAGTGCTTCTGAAGGAGTATGAAAAGGTAGAGTAGGTGAAGTCAAAACCTTAAGTAGAATCGCATGAACGCCCAAGAGCAATTTTATAACAGCACTGAAAACAATTGTCCTGCATTAGCAGTTGAATAATTTTTATTGCTGCTTCAGAAAACTTGTTGCTCAAAGATAGCCGTCCAGGGGTTATTTCCTTGTGCTGTTGTTTTTCCATACGTAAAAATAGGAAGCAACTAGAACTTCATCTTTCTTGCACATCTCCGCAACACTTAATTGTTTGGGAAAAAAAACAGAACAAAATAGACAAACCTGTCTGTGTAATGACAAAAACGTTAAGTTATGCGATGCTTTTAGTGCTGTACCAAGCAAATGGAAGTCCAGAGGTGTTTACCTCCTACAGCAGCTTATGAAACAAAAGGGATTTTCACAAACATGGGGTAATGACTTGAAATCTGCCTTATTCCTCTCATCTGAGAGGGTATCAGAGGTGGATATCACCTTTCAATCACTGGACAAGATCCAGAAACTCTGCCCACTGGAAATACTGAATCAGTGTGCCCAGCTCAGTGCCTAGGTTGAGATTTCTTATAGGAGAAAGTGAAATAGGCTCAAGATAACCATTTAAATTCATGGTGAGTACTATGTCATGGCAGAGCTGACCTTTCATCATTATTTGTAATTATTTGTGTGTTTTAAACCACAGTGCTGGTTGCATGGTAATTGCATATGGATCTGCTAAGTGTAGTTACACGATAATCTACAGGAGCAGGTAAGTACTGCAGGTAGTAGCACACTTAGCCTGTGATCTCTACAAATTGGCATGTAGTGAGAGATTAGCTTCTAAATGATAGTCCTACTTCAGTCCTGTTGCTGTCACTCTTAACATTGGCTATCGCTGATTAGTATAATTTTATTAATACTAATTCATTACAGATGACAGCTACTGTAGGTAGACAACATGTCACTAAAGTAATTATTGTCCTTTCTTAACACAGATGTGTTCCTGCTGGCATAATAAAGTACAAAACACTATTACTAATGTAAGAATGATGTAAACAGTAAAACGAAGATCCTGATTTTATTTTTTCTTATTAACTTTTATTATCAACTTGTTGAGAATTTTACCTCTGTGAGCCGCTTTAAAAGCGGAGTCTTCATGTAGTAGGTTTATAATTTCTGGCAAGACTAAATTAATTCACTGTGTCATGTGACTATGTGATAAGTCTTTCTCCTGAATGCTTTCTCTAGTTCTCTAGCTCTCTCTGGCTTTCGGTATGATAATGGTCAGCCTTATTAATATTCCAAAACTTAGAATGAAATGAGTAAATCTCTTTTAATTAGGCCTGATTCATTCTTCACTTCTTTGCTTGTTGCTTGGTGTTCTGTGATGCTGTGTAACTCTAAAGCAGCCCCATCACTGCTAGGCATGCATACTAGCCCACGCACCTCAAGAAGGAAAATTGGTTGTATTGACTTATTAATATTTGCAGAAGTAAGTATCCCCTTTGACAGAGAGTAACATGTCCTCAAAACCAAATAAATATTGAAATATATGAACACCAGGCCTTTTTCTCTGCTCAGCTTGCTTGTTGTTTTGCTGATACAACGATAGAGTTAGTTCCCTTGGTAAGATGATATTTTTACTTAATTAAAATAAAAAAAAAGGTCTGAGCAGTTGCTATGCTGAAAATTAAGCAGGAATTCCATAAAAATGTGTATTTTCATGAGCATTTAATGGTCCCATACTTAACCAGCTTTAATGAAAAACTGATGAACAAAAATACATCAGGTACGTTTTTCTGAATTGGCAGTCACGGTTTTGTAATCACAGAATCACAGAATCGTTTAGGTTGGATGGGACCTCTGGAGATCATCTAGTCCACCCTCCCTGCTCAAGCAGGGTCCTCTAGAGCAGATTGCCCAGGATCATGTCCCGGCGAGTTTTGAATATCTCCAGGGAAGGAGACTCCACTACCTCTCTGGGCAACCTGTTCCAATGCTCTGTCACCCTCACAGTGAAGAAGTTTTTCCTCAGGTTCAGATGGAACTTCCTGTGGTTCAGTGTCTGCCCATTGCCTCTTGTCCTGTCACTGGGCACCACGGAGAAGAGGCTGGCCTCATCCTCTTGACAACCCTTCAGATACTTGTACACGTTGATGAGATCCCCTCTCAGTCTTCTCTTCTCCAGGCTGAACAGGCCCAGCTCTTGCAGTCTTGTAATTTAAAAGATGATCTGATATTTATGACTTATTAATAACATATATTCGTTTTTCATACTTTGACTGCAATGTTAGCTTCCTTTTTATGAAAGGAGAATTGGTATTTTCAGATGTCCCTGTCACATGCTAAGATTTGCTGTTTTTTGAGGGCTTTTGCAACCTAAGAGTTTACTAAAAGTGTTGGATCATCCTTATATGCTCCTAGATAGCAGAGGGTATTGCCTAGATGTACACTTGTGGAAAAATTTACTTCTCTGAGTAGCAGTTTACCATTTTCTAGCGTCTAGCTGCAAACGAATATTAAAGAACTTCATGCAGAACAGGCTTAATGATCAAGTTGCATGTAAAAGTAAGAAAGCATTTAGTAATAGAGAGTAGAAGAGCACTGACTGATATGCGCTCACATGTTCGTGACACTTCTGTTGCTTGAGGTGTTTAGCCAGTGGGGCTGAAGATGCTCGTTGCTTAAATCATCAGGCCTTGCTTGAGTTTCCCCAGACGAGGCAGAAAACATTCCCTCTGAGGGTCTGTATCCTCCTGCCTGTGATTAAAAAAGCTGAGGCTCTAGAGAGATTTAAATCTGAAAATTCATGACCTGGTTTTGGATTCAAATAAGTAACCTTTTTTTATGTGTTTTACTGACAGTTCCTCTCCTTGTGACAGAAAAAGCAAAGTATTGAACGCAGGAAAGCCCCATTCCCTTTTTCATCAGATTTTGTCCCTTGCAAATCGCCCATGAAAATTGCCACAGGATGAGGAAGCAATCTCCCATTTTCAAAAGAGCGCTTCTGTAGAGTAACCTTTTTTACATCGAAGAAACGGTAGTGGTTCTTTTCCAGCTGCTTTCCTGTGCCAGGGGAAAGGAGGAGGCCCGGGACCAATTCTGGAATCCAAAATTGTGCTGTGTTTGTAAAGCTGATTGCTGGAGCCAGGAGGCAGTTCTCTCATCCATCTCCAAAAGCGCTAGTCCTCACCTGTTAAATGAAAGACCTACCTCCTGTGATCCACCCCGTCGAATACCTTTTGGTGCTTACAGTCCATCTTCAGTAGAGGAGCATATTTGTTTATTATTACCTGGAGAGGTAGCTCCTAAGTACCCTCAGGGGACGTTCACATCATTAATCAGCAGGGAGAAGCCCATGCTCCAGTTCACTTTTTAGAACAATCCTGGGCTTTACCTGAAAATCATCTTTTCTCCCAGGAGTAAGATGCAGGAAGAGATTAAATTCTCTCACAAAGGTTGGCATCATTGCTTGGTTTGTTAGAGTGATGCTGCCCTCCACCCTGTCCCAATTCTCTGCACTCATCATCTGTTAGCAGTTGCTAACAAGTGGGAATGTGTGGAGGACCTCTGAGATAAAAGCAGGATAAACTAATAGAGACTTGATCAAGTGTTGCCTTTGTGCATTTGCTCTACCCACCAATCTGCCAGTTTTTCTTGATCTCTCTTCATGTTTCAGGATGATGCTGTCTAGGGAAAAAAGACTGGAGATTGTAGCAGTGAATTTTTATATATTTGAAGTGGATGAGATCTTTCTTAATCGGATATACTCCTTCATCTCTTTGCTGGGTAGTGCTTGCTAACTGCCGCTTAAATGCGGTTCACCAACCTGGCTTTAGATGTGCTAGATCCTGCCATTAAGAATGTACAGAGGCAATTCCTAGAGAATACCAGTACCACAGAAAAGCTTTTCGCAATCAAGTATCCAAGATGGGAACAAAGAATAGGTGGTGCAAAATCAGACTGGTGGCCCACAAAGTCCACTATTATCTTAAAATTTAGTCCTACAAGTTGTGGAGCTTTCTCATCGTAGCGCACTTAAGCATCAGATTTAACTGCTTGAGTAGTCTTGCTGGTTTCATCACTTTATGCTCCTGCCTCCAGAAAGTGATGTTTGCCACAAGCTGTGGAGGAGCACGCCGTACTCCCGGCCGAGTGCTGATTCGGGCCGCTACTGAGTCAGCAGAGAAGGATAATAGTTTTATATTTGGAAGCATGAGGCCATGTATTTCTTGAGAAAATACATTCTAGCTATTTTGGAGATAATGTTGGTCTCTCTGTTCTCTCAAGACAGTGAATTCTGTGAACTTGATTTAAAGGAGGAATTCTTCAAGATGATCAGTTCTAAATTTATTAACTTTTGGTTTCACTCAACATCATGATTTCCCATTATGAGGAAGAAATATATATTCTTATTTGCCCTCTGTACTGCCCATTACTTTATTGTGTTTTCTGTCTAAAGCAATCCAAGTCTCTGTTGGCATGCATACAAAATTCTGTACTATTGGAAAGAGCTAGTTGCCGTCCCAGTGTAAGCCTGTAGAAAAATCTAATTAGTCCTTGTGTTCACGAGATTTTGATAAAACCCCATTCAGGTTTGTAAGAAAATCACTCCTAGTATAAAGAAAGGCTTACGGAAAACAGTTCAAACAAACCCAATTGCACATAGTGTTTGTCCACAGACTAAAGGTAGCTGGGGGTTGAGGGTCTGCAGAATGAATAAAAGATCCAAAAATATGTAAACAGGTTCACGCTATTGCAAACTCAGAAATGACTTTTCAAAGTGGTCAGTGAGAAAGCCTCATGCTGTTCCAGCCTGCTTGCCTGGTCCGAAAAAAGTCTTAGAGTGGAACAATTATTGTATGTTCCCCTTTGCCTCAGATTTCCTTTTTCCTGACAGCGCTAGAATAACTACCTGGTATGGACTTTCTGTGCTGTTAGCTTACAAGGACGCTGGAGGAAAGATGCTGAAATAAATATTGAAAAATAATCTAAAGTTGCACGTTTAATTTTCTGCGTTTGTTCTCTGTTGCATGTATTGCTGTAATTCTGTGGGGAACTCCGGTTCACTAGCACTGCGCGTGTTGTTTAAATTCAGAGTTCAGTAGCTGAATTCTGCTCTATTCAACTCAGTTCTCATTTGGTCGTTATCTTATCTGGAAACAGGATTAGGCCCCGAGGCCCGATTGCTCTTGTGGTCTGTGTGTAGCACTGAATCCTATTTGTCTGCTCTAGTTTGATCAACAGATGTAGATTGGCCACATTTACTTCTGCTTTATCTTTTCTTTTTCCAAGGGGAGTTTTCTGACTTTTTCCTGGTACTAATGCAGTTTTTCTGAGGTCAAATATCTATATATTAAATTCTCGGAGGAAGAGAAAGGCCGATTCTCTGCTCGCTTACCTTCAGCAGAAGGTTTGACTTAGTTTTTGCTTCATGGAACTTCAGCACTATAGTATTAAAATTCCTTATTTTGTGTGTCTGGAAATGACAAAGTATAAAGATCTGTAGTTTCCTGTGGACACTGGCTTTTGAAGTATGCTGTACATACATCCTAATGAAACCTTCCTGTGAGGGGGTAAAACAGAGAGGAGAAACAGGGCTTTTAGCTGCATTTTTCTAATAAATGCAAATGTCTCAGTGAAAGAAAAATTGTGTTCATAAACACTCCGGTGTTGTTTAGTCGCAGTTAAACTAGATTTTTTAGGATTTAATTTATTAATGTAGATCTTACTCCTTGAAACAGATCTGCCTATTAGCTATTTTCACTTTATAGCATCAGATAAAGATGCATGATTTTTGACAAATTGAAATCTGGAAACCTCTGAGAGAAAGATGCCTCACTGGAGGTCTACTACCGCGTAATTTCATAAAGTGGAGGGAGGGTGAGGAAGGAGAAGAAGAACGAGTAGTTTTTCATTGTACTGTTAAGCTTAAGGGGACAGATGCTATTCTTCTAATGTCTGCTCTGCTGAAATGAAAAACTCACTGCCAATAATTTTATCTTTGACCTACCCATCTACGCCAAGAAAGAGATAGAAGAAACCTGATTTTTGTCCTGAAATGTTATGCACGTGCACAGTATGTGTCCTCTGTCTTGCAGAAAATAACGTGTTCCTTTGTGAAGCTTGAAACGTTAGACTGTTTTAGCAGTATACGTGAATCATTTGTGTTACATAGAAGTGTAAAGCTTTTGCATTTCAAAAAGCTGTCATGCTGATAAAATATTTTGGAACTCCTTTTTTCTTATTTTTAAGTTCCCTTGTGTTGTCCCTAAGTGGCATCCAGTTATCTACCAGTCCTGGCTCTTTTTTCTCAAAGGTGTTAGAAGCAGCAGTGGCTGGTAGCTAGCCTTTGGTTAGTTAGTTATCCATTTAATTACTTCTGTAGTTTCCCAGGCTAAAGCTCAACATGAAAGATTATGGTGCAGTATGTTGTGTTGCAGTCTTACTGTAGTCAGCTAGATGTTTAATTTGACATGTTATATTGGGAGAGTTTTATTTAGAATGACAATTTGATCCTTGATCCCAGGTTTTATCCTGAGTTATCCTGGTGGTAAGAAGAGGCATTGGTTTTAAAGATGAGTGAAGAAACAGCCAATGCCCAAGAAAGCTAACTTATTAAAAGTGTTTATTTTCTTGCTAATTGGTGTACTCTTGTACAAAGAAAATAAGAATTACTTTGGTTCAGAACTGAAAAAAAAAATCACTGTGGCTGCTCTTAGGGAACCACTAGGTGTGCTGGCAGGACAGCCCGAGCAGCACGGTTTCAGGCGAATGCTGAGCTTCCTGGATTCATATGAGTGGAGAGTCTTGCAGCAGCGGGGGAAGCTCGTGTTTTATTATAGTCCTAAGACAGCAAATACTTAAGCATGCAGAAATTTTAGGAGGACTGCTTCAGTGTTAAAAGGAAGGATGTATGTGCCTGCGTATTTCTGGAGTCAGTACCAAAGGGTTCATATATTCTTGTAATTTATATCTCACTTAAATCATACCAGGAAATAATTCTTTCCAGAAAAATAAATTATTGAATAACTGTATACCAAATTCTTCAGCTCCAAATGAACTACCAGTAAACAAATGCCACGTGTCTGCGTCAGTGTGTACGGTCTTAAAGAAAGAGGGATAAACATAGCAGGCTAGGTGTATGGTGGGGGCACTCGCTTCTAAATCGGATATGTAGTTTTCTGTAACACTCTTCATAGTATCAGTAGCTCTTTATATTTAAATGTTCTTAGCCTTATTTTTATTGTGTCTCTTACATTATGTATAAGTATAAATGTAAATTTAAATGTAAATTTTTTTATTATGAAAATTTTCCTTGATTAAAAATAGCTATCCACCATGCTAATGGATATTTTCTCCTAACCAAAAAAAAAAAAAAAACCAATGCAAGTATGTTTTTGCTTGGTATGAATAACCACTGAACATCAAAATCAGTTTATTTTCTCCTTTAACATAAGAGTTCAATAAGAGATGTAGTCTGAAGTGCATTTTCTCAAGCTGAGGGATAATCCTCAGTAAAAACACAATGTTATCCAGCACATTGCATGACAAGGGATGGTTATTGCTATCCTCTGTGAGCCAGTGAGTTGAATTTTCTCTATATTGTAAATATATGTTCCTGAAAGAATGTTTTTCCTTTAAATAGGGAAGAAGTACGGTAGTAGCTTTAATGCAGTCAGAGTTTAAAATGTATTTATTCCATTCAAAGAGATTCGTTTCAACCTTCACAGGAAAGTTTTCAAATGTGTCTGAATTGATTCAAGATAAAATTATATATTTTGACATAGAGAAAATATTTTTAGCAGTATGTGGTACTCTTAAAATAATAAAGACAATAATCATGTAATATGTCACGTAATTGAAGCCCTTGCTTGTCTTGAATATTAAAACAATGTAACCAGAAAAATGGGATGCCGTAAGCGATCATGTCGCTAGGGATTTTCTGCATTACCTTGCTCAGGCTGTCCTCTGTGGTGGAATGAGTCAGAGCATTGCATACCATCCGATGTGATGCAATTAGATGCAACTCTTCTTTTAAAATTATCCAGACAGTAATATAAATGAAGCTTCTCAAGATTTAGTGCCCTGTTTTTCAGTGTGCATCCATGGTGTAATCCAGAGAAGTATTCTGTTCCTATTGTTTATGCTATTTATATACATTATTTTTAGCTGAATAACACTATTCACGCATCTCTACTGTAGTGTGGTATTTTTCAGACAAAGGAAAGCAGCTCACCTTGAGTTCCTTGTTTCATTTTACTCTGCTCCTTTCTGGCCCTGCAGACACCAGCAATACTATTGAGTTCTTCTTGCACAGGTCTCCTGCCACCACCATGGAGGGGGCAGTAAGAGAACACATGGGAAATAACAAATGCAATATTTTTAACATATTGGTACGGTAGGTCTTGCATTCACTGAAAATAGGTGTGGTGTTTGCTTGAATTCATGTGAAGGCAGGAGTGTTAGTGGTTTTCTGGTGAGTTAACTGTGACTTTTGGAAGGCTATAAACTGTCTTTTTTTTGCTGGATTTTTTTCTGAAGTTTAGAACATGGGTTTTATTTAAGTGAAGTCAGATCCTTGGAAGGCTACCGTCAATGTGGCAGCATTATGACCAGCGCTGGATTTTTGAAATTTTATATAGACGGCTGTCAAAGGATAATGTATTATTTTCTTTTCTTCTCTAGCCCGGGTCGCTCCCCAATTTCCTTTGACAGTGAAATAATAATGATGAATCATGTGTACAAAGAAAGGTTTCCAAAGGTAAGGAATCTTTTTTTTTTTTTAATGATGCAGTCAATGAACTTGTGACAACTTGGAGTTAATTTGTAATACCCATTGGGGAAAGATCCCATATCTTACCTCTGATTTCCAAACAATGCAGTTCAAAAGTTTGAAGCTGTCCTCTCTGCTTCGTATCTTAATTTTTGCCGTAGAAAAAATAGATTTAATGTGTAGAGAGATTCACATAGAAGTGTGTGAAAAGCTTAGTGTATTTGTGCATGTATTTCATATTTATTAAATTTCTCATGTCTTTTATTGGCATGCCAAATGTGTGTAGGAATGAGGACAAGAGCCATGCTCTGGCTGCTCAATGTAAATGTTGTTGTTTGAGGCCAGGATCTCCATATATTCTGCAGTAATCCTTGATTTTTGCTTCAAATTCTGAAGGAGTTAGAGGAAGGATAATTTCCTTCGTTTCATATATACTTTAAAAAGCTAAGCTTCATATGTACTTTACAAAGCTATATCAAAGAGTAATTTAAAAATACATTGAATAACATCCACCCAGTGTTCCTTGTGTAATTGCGTTGAATTTGCTTTAAACTGATCCAGACTTTTTTGGTTTTGGTAGGCTTTACATTTTCATATTGGAAACACAAAGTTCTCTTTTAAAGTCCTTCTAAATTGTACTGGAGGTTTTTGGCAAAAGTGAGGTATGCCGCTGGGACTTTTGGTACTCGGGAAGTAATGAAGATAGATTTAGATTTTCAGAGAAGTACACGATTTCAATGCTGAAGTGATCTGCAGTGAAAATAGATTTTCAAAGAGTTGAATATTGAAGTCTGTGGACTCAGGCTTTGAAGGTTAACATCTCGCTGAAATGAGTGTAAGAAGACTGTGTATCCTAGAGTTGTTGATAATGGCCAGGGTACCTGCCATTCCTCTCTGTTTTACCAGTAGTAAAAATACAAGTCCTGTTGACAGGATATCAGGGCTGACAGCGATAGAAATGCCATGTGTCTGTGGCTTAGGGCATTAGCAATGATTTTTCAGGTTTCATGGTCTTGCCTAAAAGTTCTGAAAACTGCTTCAGGTCTTCTGTCCTTCCCTGGGTCCCCAGACTAAGAATACAGACTCAGAGCTGGGATATTTTTATGGTCGCTTGCGTTTTCATTAAATGTGTTCCGATTAATTCTCATCACTGGATCTTGTGAACATAGCTTTCGCCTATGGCGTACTATTTTTATTCTAAGTAATTTATTCCATTGTGTTTTGAAACTTTTTTAAAAATCTAGTGCATTTGGGGTTTTAAAATAGGTTACTTAAGCATCAAGCCTGTTTGTATTTAAGTTCAGGGACAGTAATATTTACAAGTAACCCGTTTATTCCTTCCTCTTAGGCCACGGCGCAGATGGAGGAACGGCTGGCTGAGTTCATTGCCTCTAATGCTCCTGAGAATGTGCTGCAATTAGCAGATGGGGTCCTAAGTTTCATTCATCATCAAGTTATTGAACTGGCCAGAGACTGCCTAGATAAATCACGTGAAGGTCTTATTACTTCTCGGTACTTTTATGAGCTACAGGAAAACTTGGAGAAACTTCTCCAGGATGTAAGTGCTCCCTGGAAAGTAGAACATATTATTTTGATTGAAACTTTAAACAATAAGCCAGAGCTTTGATTTTAGGAGAGGCAGCACAGACTCTAGGGGAAGGGCAGTGGGTGGTGGTGTCAGGAGACCTGAGTTGTTCCCATCTGCTATTGATCTACCGTGGGTGGATTTGAGCAAGTCACTTCACCTGCGTACTTTGTCTGTACAAAAGTCAAACATGCATATGAGTAACTCAAAGGCAGTCTTTACCACTTATGAAAATTAGGTTTATTGAGATGAAGGAAATTACTGAACTTTCTTTCATGTACTTCAAGACTCTGAATGACTTATTAATTACAATTGTGCCTTCAAGGAGTGAAAACACCATAGTTTGTAGCGTTGCTATAAATTTTTCAAAAAAGATTTTCTTGAGCTGAGCCTAATTCAGTTGTGGGTTTTTTTAGTGCTTCGATGTGTTTTGTGATGTTCAAAGCATATGAAAATACACATGAGAGCACAGCTTAAATGCATGCTCAGTGCGCTTCAACTGCTCGTTAAAAACTACTCTTTTCCTTTAAAATGAAAAAAATATTAAATTCGAAAAATCCCTTAGAATTTAGTGTTCCTTAATTCTCTGCAAGTGCCTGCTGTACTATTCTGTAAGTCAGTGCAGTTTCATTGAGAACAAATGTGACTGAAAACAGGATGCCGTGTTACTAGAATACTTTGCAGCGGTTGTGAAGAGTCAGTGGAGAGTTCTACTTGTTGCTGGGTCCAGACCTCCGTTTAGGAACACCTTCCTAATCCTTGGCTGTAATTGAAGAAGATAGCAAGCTGAAAATGCAGTGTTTCTAAAGATCGTGGTATCAGATCACAAATATCACTGAGAGACTTAGAAACAGAGCACCTGAAATGCTCCTTTGTGGTTTATAATCTCTTTTAATCTCTATGTTTATATGTCATTGATCGTTTTGCTAACCCACTGGTGTGAATTGCGCTAGTTTGTACACCTCTGCCCTTCCATCTAGCCATTAGAAAATAGCAAGTGAATATAAATATTTATTAATGTATTATTATTGTATTTAAAAGATTTGCAGAAACCTCACAATCTTCCCTTGTATCAGCTAAAATCTTTGGCTACTCCATTTATGTGAGCATGGGTGTAAATGTTTTGGTATTTGTTATGCATAAGAGAAAAATGACTCAGGTTTATTTTTGTGGTAGTCTCCCTGGATGAGGACTATAATGAGGTAGGGAATATCTTTGGAGGGCTTGTATGGTTGTCTGTTGTGACATATCAGTAACCACTGTGGATGCATTTCAATAGTTCATTGCATTTTGGATATCCAAAAAGTAGTAGAGCAATGATGTTTTGATTTAAAAAAAATACAAAACAAAACCCCCAACATACCAAAAAAAATTTTTTTTTTGTTCCTTTTTCTCCTCCTTCCCTCAGAAAAAACCCTCAAAATACTCACATGTCCTTTTCTCTTTCATGCTACATTCATTGTACTTCTGAGCACTGGGAAAGACGACACTGAACTGGTACTAGATAAGGTGCAGTGATCGTCTCTGTGCTCGTTGAGTAGTTGATAGTCAGGAGTTGCCATGACCCTTTCTCCTTAACATCTTCTGCAGGTTTGGGGTGGGAGAAGGGTCAATTCTAAATTTTAATTGATTTTCTCTAGGAAGTATGGTAGGCTAGAGACAACTAAAGGGAAAGCTTAGAGAGACAAGGGAGGCAGAACGGGGTGGGAGGGACGAGGATAAAGAAATTAAAGACGACGTAGGAATGCCAAAGACTTCTTCCCACGTTTTTTTCATTTGTTTTTCTCTTTCCTGTCATAGTACAAGTCTTTGCCTTGTATTTTCTATTCTATTATTTAAAGACTCTTCCCCTGCTTGCCAATTTGTGTTTCCCCTTTATGCTGTGTTTTAAAGGGAAATAATGGGACCTTTCGGATTACACACGTAGAAAAATGGCAATAATATTTCTATTTGGGGACTAAGTGAAACACAAGAAGTTTGGAGTCAAGATCAGATTATTAGGAACTAGAGGGCAGAGTCTTTACTTTGGATTAGTTTGGAAGGTACCGTGCAGAGTATACAGTGTGTGAGTAGTAACGACGAGATTTGTGCAGTGATATCATCTGGGCGGTAGGGTATATTGTGTTATAAGATACAGAAAGATTGAGCAGGTGATTTATTGGTGAGTAAGGAAATGAGCGGCAGCAGGGCAGTAACTGGCAGGAAGGGAAGTGCATGCAGATTTTCATGTAATTTTCCAGTACAAGAACTGACTCTGTTGAAATCCCTGTCTTTTTAACATGTTCAATCTAAACTTGGTAACAAGCTAAAGTCACACAGTCATTTCATACCTTAGAAGGAAAACTCAATTTCATATGTTGCAAGTTAAAGCTACTTTATGTGGTAAAAATGTCTCCATAAAACAGAGTAATTGATTATGTAAATAATGAACTGTTTAAATATACCAGGCTAGAAAGCTTTTTAAAGATTTTAAATACCAAAAAGCCTCATTAGTTATGAGGCAAATGAGATCATTTCTCTTGTTTGTGAGCGTGAAGTATTATCTTTTAGCCAGAAAAACCTATTGCTTATTGCATCATTGAAATGATCTTGTAGTGCAAGTGAAATTAATAGATTTCCTTTATTTTGAAAAACATGGACTTGAATATTATACTTCACATTTAAAGTAGAAATATTGAAAAATAAGATAAAGTACTTTTATAAAGAATATGTGACAGTGGATTCTTTAATCTTTTGCTGCAGGGGTGGGGATGGGATAGGAGCTAGGGCTCCTGAAAAAACGAGGTTGTAGCCTGATCATTACTTAGTTGAATTTACTGAATACTTACGATTACTTGGTTGAATTAACCGAATAACCAAGACAAGATATATCTAGTCAGAAGAGATTTAGTGGTTTAGAGGCAGGTTCTCAGGAGGTAGGGAAATGAAGGATTACAGGTATTTTCTGTACATAGAACAAAAGAGAAAGGGGAAGGTGTTATCTGATACCGCACATTGGAAAATTGATATTCTGATTGCATTTGCTTTCTCAACAAGAGCCTAAGTGTAAATTTGTTGGTGCTTGGCCTCGCAGTTCTTGTGTTTTGGTTTCTATCAGTGTATTGGCTCAATTGCAGCGTTGTGACTTGCATATCCGGTTATTGGCCCTGCCGAACCCCAGGGGGGGACAGTGATTTTAATTTCATGCCCCAGTAGCTACACTTGGTGACGGATGGGGCTTTCAGATGGGGGAATCGGCTGGTAAATCACTCGCCGCTGCCTCCCATACCTGGGCAGCTGGGAAGGGCTCGGGTGCGCGGGAATGGCAGCGAGGTTCTGGCGCCTCTCCGCCGGGGGCGGTGGGGGACGCCCCGGAATGACCCCAGCACCCTTCAGGGGGGCGTCTCGTCACCAGCAACGGCTAATGAGGCGGCACACCGCACTGCATGCCAGCAGCAGACAGTGCTTCGCTATATAACCCCGTGATTTCGGGACGCTGCAATCGGTTGCAAACGAGACGTGCGCAGAGATGTCTGGGCTGTCCTGTGAGAGAGGGCGGCGAGGAGAGGCCGTTCTCCTGGGGATCTTGGAGCAGCAGCGCTGCGCAGAGATGATGGCTGAGTGGCTGTTACAAGTTGTGTGTGGCTTTTGTGACCTTGTACTCTGTTCTTTTTTCTTTTTCCCCCCCCTTTTGCTTTTCTTTGTCATTTGGCAGTCGGGTTGGCTTTTCATTTTTCAGACAGGCAGCTGATTAAGTCAGTTACATTTTTACATTATTTTGCCTAAATCATAGTGGGTGAGAAAGGGAGAAAACAAAAAGACTTGATTTAAAAGAATAAATTAACTTTGACATTTATAAACAGATGCAAAAAGATGAATTAGTATTTTTTGCCTAATATAACTTACGTAGAGGAGTGAAAAAGGACTTTGCAGTCACGTGGCTCATATTTGAATGTTAATGTGTAATTTATTCATTCCAACTCACCTGACCTCTGGTGATTTAGGATGGCTCTTCAAATATGAAATCATTAATTTCTTTCTAGAATTCATATTTTAACTCGTAAGTTTGGCTAATGCATTAGGAGTGAATGCTAGTCTTCATTTTGATCTTTTTTTTCTGATTAGAAAATATCTTTTAGTTAGAAAAAGCCTCAACTTATTATTTCAGTGCTTTCAGAGTAATATTTTTTTACACAATTAAAACCAGAAGCACCTCTGATGTTGTTTTTAGGTCAGTGGTTATATAGCTTTCTTCGAGGTTAAAATCTAGCTCTAGCTTATCAATGCTGAACTAAACAAATAACACATTTCTTATTGGGACTTTTGTCAAAATGAGAAGTAATGAACTTTTTACTTATTTAGTTAAAAAACCAAAAAAAACCCCAAAAAACAAAAACAGGAACATATTGTTTAAAAATACTGCTTATGTTTTTTCTAGCTCAGAATTTGTGCTTCCTTGTGTTTGTATTGTTCTTTTAGGTGACTATCAGTGTTTGGACTTCTCAGCCATATATGTCTTTTGCTTTTCGGCGTGAATGAACAATGCTAAAATGAACCTTTTTGTTTCCCGCTGCTTGCATCCTTGTTGGTTAAAATATTGTTCCTATAAGCAACTGAAAAGCTTGGTGGTGAAGCATATCATCGAGCTGCTTTTGGACTTTATATCTATGCTAAAGCCTAATTTTTACACCATTGTGAAAACTGCAGTTTGTTCCAGTGTTTCATGTCACTGGGAACCGTCTTTTATCAGCCTGCACTGAAATGCTGTTTACTCGTGCTTTAGGGCTCATAATGTAACCGTCATGTCTCTGAGCAAAAACAAAAGTATATATATGTTTTTTAGTTTTTCAAACTTGTCTTTTATTAGTTTTAATTATTAGTTTTTAATGTATTTATAAAAAAACCCCCCACCCCCCCGTTAAAACTAAGCCTTGAGTTTGTAATGAAATCCAATAATGTGAAAGAATAGGAGTGAGCAAGTATAAATTCCCTAAATTAGGTTTCTGTATACCCTGTGATTTGCTTGTGTGTTTGGTACAACATAGCATACAATGCAGTGCAGTAGTTGCTTGGCAGGATTTGTGAAATGAAATCAAGATAAATTAAAAGACTAGATTTTTCGTGGTGATGAACATAAATTGTTCAAATTCTACCTAAAAGTAAAGCTGAGAAACGTGTACATGTTGGTAATTATCTAGACCTCAGTATTGTGGGAAGGTTAAATTGAAAAAACCGTATTCCTATTTTAATTTTTTAAAATGAAAAAAAATCACATATAATAAAATAGATAAGCAACATAATGCAAATAGAGCCTTTGGTATATCTCTTGCTTGATAAAGCGAGTCAGTTGTAATGGAGAAGCTATATGCAACTTGGCATCCTTGACTGAGCTGAGCTCATTGCCTGGCCGGACTCGGTCATGCCTTTGCTGCTGAATTATGGTTACTGAGCGGGCGATTGCTCTGCGTTCAGCGCTTGATGTATAGGAGCGAAGAGTTCGCTGTTAGGACCGTAACGTGCTGTTTTGCTCTCTGCAGGCTCACGAGCGATCCGAGAGCTCAGAGGTTGCTTTCGTTACCCAACTTGTGAAAAAACTGATGATTATCATTGCACGACCAGCTCGGCTGCTTGAGTGCCTGGTAAGTTTGGTCCTTGGGAGAGTATGAGTGTGATTTAAAGGGTACGATGTGTATTTGAGGAGATAGGGAACACACAGTCTTTGAGGGAAAGCTTAAATCCTGATGAAAACATTGATGAAAAATAAATCCGTATTAAAAAAACGAATTACTAAGTCTTTTACAGTAATATAGAAGTATCTTTTTAATGGGATGCCAGCTGCAATGACAGCTTATAGGGTTTTTGTATTAATTCTTAAATTAAATTGGGGAGAGGGGCCAGATGTACGTACTGACATCGTTTCATGCAACTTGATGTCACCTGATTTTCCTCGTGTTGTCAAAGGGTGCAGTAAAGAGTGTGTGAATGTATCGTCTGCCTCAGACGCCTGAAGAGCTTTGCTAAGTAAGAACTGTCACCAAGAAAAGTTTCCTCCCGTGATATAAATGGTGTTTGGGCTCTCAGACTGAAACTCTTACTGTAGACACCAATTCCAGAAAAATCTGGTGTCAGGTTTTCTAAATGCGAAAATAGAGAGCGATAAAACAGTGAGAGACCCAAGCAGTTTTGTTAGCCTGGTGGAGAAATCATATTCAATGCAATTAAAATATATGGCCAATTAGGTCTCATCATGCTTTTCAACACCTTATTCGGGCTAATAAGAAGGTATTTTTATATTTAGTTCTAGAAAATGGTGGAAAATGTTCAGGCCATCTCAATGAAGTTGGACACTGTATCCGGAAAACTTGCAACTTTGAAAATATTTTGTTAGGTATGGTGGACAAGCAGCATGAACATGCATTTCCACTGCGGAGCTGTGGCAAGAGGGTTAGTATAATCTTTGGATATAGAGGGAAAGAGGTGGCTAGGCCTGTGCTGTATACAGCAGCATTCTGTGGTGATTGATTATGGTGGTCACTTCTGTGACTGCAGTTCAAAAGGATGTTGAAAGATTGGAGAGAGTGCAGGGAAGTGTCAGAAGAAGTTGTTTGAGGGCTGGAGCTGCCAACCAGCTTACAGTGGAACCTTAAGAAACTTCATCTGTTTGTCATTGTCAAAAGGGAAGGTAAAGGCATGATTGCTCGTGCTTTATAAATATATCCAGGTACCAGATAGAGACATAAGGATGGAAAGTAGACCCGTTTCTATTAAAAATTTGGCTCGTTTTTGATAGTGATAGCAAAATGCTTCCATGAAGTAGTAAATTTTTTCTCCTGTAAATCCTTGCTTCTAAGCTGAAAATCTTTCTGGAAATTATGCTGTTTGTATATGGCTTTTTAGGAATAACCAGATTAAATTCCCTGGCCTATGTTATTTGAGAGATGCAAGCACATGACCGAATGATTCTTTCTGAACATAAAAATGAGAGTGAAGCTGCATCTGACTGAGGCATTAGAGAAGTTGGCTAAACTAGGAAATTGTGGCTGGATGTAAATACAGGTGTAGTTAATGAGTGAAGCATGTTGAAGCTAACATATCCAGGGGTGACTTTTTAATCACTGGAGCCACAAGAAGATAAATGAATTTTGCAGAGCATGCTTCGGTAAGATGGATGAGAATGGTCCAACCTTTCCAATGACATTAGTTTTAGAAAACACCTACAACCTCAGGTGGACTGCTTTGCTGTGTGAACCCTTTGGTGCAAGGAAGACCACTTTCAGTGAAGAAGTAGGCCACACCACTAGCAAGACAGATGCCTACACTTATTTGTTCAAGAAATCGCCACTAGATTACATTGAAAATCCTGGACACAACTTCATCCAAACTGGGAATTCTTTGGCTTTGAAAGCCCTTTTCGTGATTAAATGAATTCTGTGATTTCAGTGATCCTCAAGCATGTCTTCAGAATGTTTTTTGGGACGGAAGACCAATAAAGAAATGAAATAAATTAAAACTTAGTGTGTTTGCTGTGCTTACCACTGCCGTTTGCACTTGTTCACGCTCTGTTAGTAACGCATCATCTAGGCAGGCTCACAACTTTGGCGGGTTTTGTGAGCCCATCTCTGTAGCTGGAAGCAGTTCCAAACTCGAAACAGCTCTTAGCTACAGATCAGGAGATCTCCAGGTTCCTGCACCTGCCGTTCCACAAAGCATGCGGGAGCAGGTGGAAGCAGAAATGAGATTTGAGTAATGACCTCCAAAGGATGTAGTGACAACCTTGAAAATGAAGTGACTAGAGCCCGAGGACACTGAAAACGATGTTGAGATCTCTGTATTAGTCTTTGTTTGTAAGCTTTATCACCTTTCTAGCAGTTTTGTATTTATTAATTTGTTTATTTTATTCTGCTGAAATGAAGACTAAAGTATTAATGTTCCTTTTATCCCATAAAGGAGGTTCATAGCAATAGATAATCTGCCGTTTAAATAGCTTAGGAATTGCATTTCATTTTTGTTTTGTAACATGTGATTTTTTTAGGTTCCTTTTCCATAGGACTTTTGGTCCCTTAGTAGGGACTATTCTGCTTCATTTAGGTACATTTGTGTTCAGAGAATTAAACAGATGTACCCCAAAATAGTCGTAACTTAAATTTATTTAATTTATTGATTTTTTTTTTTTTTAATTTTTAATTTCTTGTCAAAAGACATTTTTCTTCCGTCCTTTGCCCACCGATAATTGTCCTACAACTGTACCATGGTACTGGTACTTTTGAGTATGGTTCCTGCTTTTGGTCTTGACTGAGGTAGTTGATAAATCTTCTTCCAGGCAAATTAGAAGGGAATGTTGTGTTTTCAGTCATTGCTGTCTTTGGCCATACAAGCTGTTTAGAGCAAGCAAGCAAGAGTGGCTTTTCTCCCTTTTTCTAACCACTCAAATATCCTTACATGCCATATTCTCTAATGTTTTTCTTATTTGCAATGCTGTGCTCTCTTTTCTCTTAAACTGCTGATCATTTTCAGGTCAGTTCTTTTTCTACTATCCTTCACTGCTCTGTGCTGTAACTCCTCTTCTCCTCTCATTTCACTGTAAAATTTTTGAAGAGTCTTGGCAAAGCTACTCGTTGCTGGTAAAGGGCGAGGTTTGAAGGGGAGGGTTAAAGTGCATTAGTGACCTTGCTTCTGAGCAGCAGTGCTTTTGCACCCAAAAGCTGGTCTTTTATTTCCAACTAGATCTGTTGGTCTGATAAAGGAGATTATAAACTTTTCTTTCCTTAGGGATCCTGTACATCAAACTTGAGCTGATTAGAGGATCCCCGCCCCCAAACCCGTAACAGTATTTCATGTATATCAAAAATGAAGTCTTCTCTGTTGATAAAATAGCAATTGCTATTTTATTAGCAATTGCTGAGGTTGGGATGGTTACAGAATTTGGTGGGAAGGTGTATGATTTGATCAGAACTCAGCTGCCAGGCAGAGGCGGCCGAAGGAGGCACCTTAGTCCTCACTACAGACCTTTCACTGGTGTATCCCAAGCGTGACAAAATTAGGAGGTGGGTCCAGGTAAATGCCTGCATTCTTATGACTGTAGTGACCTCATAGTCTAGTTTTGGTTTATGAAAAGTCCCACAATCCTTGTGACATTTGAATCACAGGTTTAAGCCAGTGGACATCCGGCAGCCTGTGAATGTGTAAAATAGAACTTCGCTTTCCCCAAGCGGGTGTAATGCATTGGCTTGCTTCTTGTAACTGCAAATGTTTTGCCTCTCTGCTGAGCCCAGAATTGACTTGGGATGTTTCTGAGGAATCCAGGTGACTCAACCCGTGCTCCTTCCCTCCTATACGGGAGAGGATCCTTTGGTAATTGTGGGACTGAATCATTTACCTCTCTCTGCCTCTCTCACCGTCTTGCTGCAGGAGTTTGATCCTGAAGAGTTTTACCACTTGTTGGAAGCTGCAGAAGGCCATGCCAAGGAAGGGCAAGGAATTAAATGCGACATTCCTCGTTACATTATCAGCCAGCTGGGACTTACCAGGGATCCCTTGGAGGGTGAGAACTCTTCTTTTTATATTCTCAAACTACTAAAGGGATGGTCAGATCTCCAGATGCCAACGCCTGGTCGCTATGTAGCCAAAAGAGGCTTTCGTTTTATTGGGTGGATTTCTGTGCCTTTTCTTCCTTATTTTCCTGTTTGCTGTCCAATTCTAAATGATCCTTTCCAACTGTATGTCTTAAAGAAGTGTTACTAACTTAAGGATCACACATCAACAGTTACAGTTCTTTATGTGGGGGTTAATAATGTCTCCCTGTATTGTAGCTGGAAAAATGTTAGTAAATGACTTTATTTTAACTGTTTTTTCTGTAGTTGGAAGGGTAAAACTAAATTTATCGTTTATATTTCTGATCAGCCACTGCTTGCATGCTGTGGTCTCTCCTGTGCTGGTTGGAAAGGATTCTGTCATCCCACTCTGTCGTCCTCTCTGGAAAAAATGTATTTGTTGTGATTTTCCGTGGAGTGTACACGTACACACACAATTTTCTAAAGTACACAAACTATATACATGAAGTCAGCTAGGAGTTCACTTGGATACAAAAGCTTGTATTTCTGGTCCCAAAAGGTATTTAATCAAACAATTTATAATAATAGCCTAGTTTACGTGTAGAGTGAAGTTAATTTTATGATGAAGAATGTTTATTTTACGTTTTACAGTTTTTAGAAATGTTGGATATTACACTTAAGCGTTTGATAAGAAAGTAATGTCTTAGAAGAAACAGACAGCTTTTCCTCTAGCTCCTGGCATTGCATATGGTAAAATTAATCTGCTCTAAATGTACGGAGCCCCAGAAGATCTTAACTTTGGAATTCGTGAGTTAATAGTTCTCCTTGTGTTTTGCTTGTTGGTTCTCTTCCCCTCTGACAAGTTTTACGAGCACAGACTTTGGTCCCAGGCACGGCTTGCTCAGCAACAATAGGAAGTTTGACAGAGACTGGAGGTTACTGCAGAATATTTCAGCAGTTGAGCTGTACTTTTTGTTTTCTCAGGAGAGCATAATTTTACCATAAATTAGTAGTCTGAATAGGACTAGTTTAACTTCTGCAGTGTTTACTAGAATGACAGTGACAGGTTGACTTCAAGTAAAGGGCTCTTTGGGAAAATTTCTACCAAAGATTGCTAAATGCAATTTAATAGCATTTGTTGAAATCTGACATTAAAGGGAAATTTCCTTTGATCCCTGTCATGGGAGAGAACCTTTCTATCACTAATTCTCCTCACTGAAGTCAAATTTTCTTTAGAAATGTGTGGAGATGTCAAAGTGCCTTATTTCCTTTCTGTAAGGAGGGCACCCAGAAATGTCAATGATGTCTGTTCGGAGACTAGCAGTTAATGTAGGATTTGGTTCTGCAAAGTTTATAGCATCTCCTAAGACAGCTGAGTAGCCTAAACTAACCGACTTTCTCACAGTTTGATGCTGCTCAGCATTTTGCAGAATCAGACACGTTTCATGGAGAGAGGTTATTTGAAATGTAATGCTTTTTCTTTTCTAAAGTACATAGGTGCTACCAGGCTATATACAGACATGTATGCACGGAATAGGTTTTGCCATTAGATAGCTGGCAGTTTCCCCAAACTTGCATGTATTGCTTTTACTTATTAAAGAAACCATCTAGAATAATTCATGCTGAGAAGAGGCCCGTTAATTATATTCATCTTTATATAAAATCTTGCCTACAGCTCACAAGATGTTAAAGGTTATCACTGTATAATTGGGGTGACTTTTTACAGAGGGGAAAAATGTGCTTCATAATCTACAAGCACCTCTTGAAATGCTGTTTGTCTTGTATAAACAAAGAGAACAGTGTTTGATTGAGATCATTAGGAGTAATCTTTCTGCTTTCTTTTCAGAAATGGCCCAGCTGAATAGCTATGACAGCCCAGACACTCCTGAGACAGATGATTCAGTGGAGGTAAAGCAGTAATACATGCACACTGTCTAGCACTTTTTCCTCTGAAAAGGAGTAGTCTACAGTAAAGAACTAATTATAATGCAGAGTAATTTCAATTAAAGAAAGGGATGACATTTAAAAGTGCATGTTAAAACTAAAGTACATGCTCATCAAGCTGCACTATGCTGTGGAGGTGAAATGCTTTAAAGATACAAACAGGCATTATCATGAAGTCTTGTTGATGTTTCTTTAAGTTGCAATCGAAAGTAGTTTTCAGCTCATTTCAATTTTTAAAAAATTCTGTATATCCGCATATGTAAAATGTGATGGGAATTCTGGGAAGTTGACTTCAGTGATGGACTGTTGGAAAAATTTAGTCATATAACTGACCAGGTTTCAAAGATCCTTAGTTTTTTTTTTAGTTGATTGGTATTTTAAAAATACAATGTTGAGGAAATGAGGCCTGAATTTTATAGTCCACTGACTTATTGTGCTAATATTTGGGAAGGGAGTCTGCAAGGCTCCTGGGGATACAGCCTATTATCTTAAAGCTGACCACTCCAGAGATTTTAGGATTAGGTTGTGTTTGGGTGAATTCTGCTTAAAAAAGAAAAGGACAAAAAAGTTGTGTAGAGAACGAAATCATTCCTACTCCCCTGATTTGTGTTTGTTTTCTTTCTCAGAGCCGTGGAGCCTCTGTGCAATCAAAGAAAACTCCATCTGAGGAAGAATTTGAAAATATTAAGCTGATCAGTAATGGAGCTTATGGGTAATGCTTTTTATACTCTGCTCTAGCAGAAAATGCTGTTATCATCCTGCACAGTGAAGGGTTATACCAAAGCTAGGCAAATGACTGTTTTCTGTTGGATCCAGATCATAACGAACATTGCTTGGACCTTACAAACGTTCCAAACTTACGATGTCTTGTGGGAGATGCTATTTCTTTCACATTCTCTGTGTTTTTAGGCAATACCACCTGTACGTTGCTGTAGTTCTCGGCTGTGAAGGCCTTGCGCTGCACTGAGCTGACATACAGCTTCCAGCTCTGTGACCCTCTGTAAAAAGTGGTTATCCAGCATTAAAGCTTTCAGAATAGTTTGCTGTAAGTCCTTCCTAGCTGTGACCTCGAGCCTTTTTTTTCTGTAGCTACTTCCGCAATGTTGGCCTGAGATGACAAAATTTTCCCTAAATGTTGTCTTCGAAGAGAAGGATTGTCACATAGTCTATTGTGAAATTTCTTAGAGAAAAATGTAGCTCCAGGAATTTGAGAAAATTATTTTGCACCCATAATTTTTTGCTTATCAGGACATTCTGTATTTCCTTTCATGGCATCTGGTTAAGTCCTATGATCTGTATTTGTGTAAGGGTTAAATGAGTGAGAAAAAAATTCTACAGTTGCAAATGTTATTGATTATTCATTAAAATGGCAAAAATATTGGAGAGAAAGGGGGTTATGTTTTGCATGTCTTGAGATTATATATGTAATGTATGTGGCTGTGAGCTTTGAAATACGAGATTAAATGCTAAAATTAGATGAGGGCAGGTCTACTTGAGAAGTCATGCAGTAAAAATACCATTAGATTTTATTACCTGTTGAAGAATCCAGAATGGAGTTTCTCAGTTAAAATTTTAACCATTCCTACAAACCCATCCAGAATATTAAAGATAGTTCCTGAGTCTCTGCAGTTTATAAATCCTTGTCAGAGATATTAAAGAGGCCAGAACTGAAAAGCAGGGATACTCAAGTAGGCCGTAACAGCAAAACTTAAGCATGTGCTTGAGTGTTTTGTTGAAGTGGTCGCTTAGTTAACAGCAACTCATTTCTTAAAAATTATGTGAAATAGTGTAAGTATATATATTTTTTTCAGCCTGTGAAGACACAGTAGAGCCGATCAAAGAGCCGTATTGCCTGACAAGAAGCTTTTATATGTTTTCAGTCATATTTCTGCACAGACCCCATGATTTTAAACATACCTCTGCAGAAATGCGAGGGGTGGAAGTTTTGCTGTAACTCATGTCCTGCCTTTACACTGGTTGTATTTCACAGTCAGTTGCTTGTGCGACACGATTCCATGTTAAATGTATTATCCTCCAGAGAAAAGGAAGCAAGTACTGATTCAGTAAGGCAGGCAAACCGGATGAAAATTTTATTTGCAAATTCTGTTATTAACGTGCAGGAATCTAATGATCTGCAAATGATAGAAATGTAAGAGATACTGAAGGTAATCCCTGGTGACAGTGTTATGTCAAATCCGCGTTATGGAGCTGGGAAGAAATTGTGCTGGTTCCTTGGACAATGTTTGAGTTAAATGGTGACTTTAATGTTGAAAAATACATACCTTTGTATTAATGACCAAGGAAGCCGGTGACATTTGTTAGTCACATCAATGAGAATGCTACTTAATTCAAAGAGGCCAGATCAGAGTAGCTTTTGGAAGAGAAGCGTCGTGGAGTTCCTTCTTTTCTAGAGGAGCTTGGCCTTAGGATGGATGGGATTTTATGGAGTCACAAATAAGTTTGTCAGAATCCATCCAAAAGAGTTACCATCCATTATTTCTTTAAAACAGTGCAAACTGAAAATGGATCCTTTGCTCTTGATGTGTGATTTTCTAGAGCGGTGTATTTGGTGCGACACAAGACCACCCGTCAACGTTTTGCCATGAAGAAGATCAACAAACAGAACCTAATTTTGAGAAACCAGATCCAACAGGCTTTTGTGGAGAGAGATATCTTGACTTTTGCTGAGAACCCCTTTGTAGTCAGCATGTTCTGCTCCTTCGAGACCAAGCGCCATCTGTGCATGGTTATGGAGTACGTGGAAGGTATCTATTGAATGCTGGCATGTTTGTCTTAATTTCGTCTTGCAAAGGCACCGTAGGTAGGATGCGCCCGTAGCGTATACACAGTGTCTTCCATCATAAAGGATGACATTTCCCAGTGATTTTTAAAACATGTACTTTTGGGTGTAATATTGATCACTGTACTGCTCTGAACGTAATAAACAGGAAGAACATCTTTTGTGTGTGGGATACTCCGTTTTCATGTAAGGTAAGCACAGTCAGCACTGCGTCCCTCCGCCTTCCTGCAGGGAGCTTATGAAGCCCATGTAGGGAGGAGGTGTACAGACTGCTTGGGCTGAGCTGGAGAAATGAGTCATTCTAGCCTGCTAGCATGATTTTGTGTAAGGAGATACTCCATTTGTGAATCCCCATAGCTAATGCGATGTGATTGCAATGAGGCTGAGGAAAACATAAAGCCATGTGTAGAGAGATTGCTGGGGTGAGAAGTCAGTGTGAACTTCCCAGTCTTTATTGGAAGGAGATCCTTTGGTTCTCCTGTGGCTCCTGTGGGAGGCCATGGCTAAATCCGTAGAGTGCTTGGCATTAAGGTTAGAAAAAGAGAGCTAAGAAACATCAGCAAGCAAGCATAGTCTTTGTTCTTTATCAGCTCTTTCAAAAATACAGTGTTTTATGCTGTTGAATTTTTTCTTTGCTAATTCATTGGAATATTATTTGATTTTATTTTATTGCTGTATCTTATTGTAAGCAATACATTTCCATTGATGGATAGGATTACTTTCTTATGCCTGACTTGCTTTGCTGAACGTTAATGAGAAGTGAGCTTTAGTTACTATATTAGTGCTCTTTTAGATAAATAAGTGGAATGAAAGCAGATGTACTGACATAACAGATTTTAACATTAGCTCCGATTTGCAAAAGAGATGAAGGTTGTCGAGTGAAATGTGTAGCCAGCATTCCTTAAAAAGTTGAATCAGGGGCCCACAAACTTATTTTCATGTGTTACTACTATACCAAAAGCTGTGACTGCCTCTTCAAGCATTGGAAGAGCCAGTTAGTAGGAAAGCTATTTAAAACAGTGAGTAAACACTGCTGAGACTATCAGAAGTGGTATCTGTTACAGTGGTAAGCCCTGCGTGGAAAGCAAAGAAATTTACACAGAGGACAAGCGATCATGAACTGCCCTTCCTTCCAAGGCTTGTCTCTGGTTTGGAAACTGCATCTGTACAATTGTTGTGGTAAATCCTTCTTCCTTTCCTGAGGCATACAGAAACCAACTGAGGTGCACTGGAGAGAAGGAGATCCTGATGTGTTTTGCTACAGATGAAGATGAGGGCCTCAGGAATTGGAGGTCAAGGCCCATCTGCTCTTGAGTTACGTGTTGTATTTCAGCACTTCAGTGCATGTTGCTTCATGGAGTTTACTGTGGTGTGCCTTTTTAGAGGAGTAAAAGCATGCCCAGCATCCATGGAACTCAATTTTCCGAAGATTTTAAAACTTATTTGAAGCTCAAAGCTTGAATGTAGAGAGTTTTAGAAATCAGGGTTACAGGATTAAGAGAGGCTGCCTTTAGGAAACTTACTCTAATCTAATGTTGTAGTGCTGTAGCGGCTCTTGCTTCTTAACTAATATTTCCTGTTTCACTGTGTCATATTTGCAACTTTATTCTAGGAGGTGATTGTGCTACACTTCTCAAGAATATTGGTGCGCTACCTGTGGATATGGCCAGGATGTATTTTGCCGAGACAGTTTTGGCATTGGAGTACCTACACAATTACGGGATTGTTCACCGTGACCTCAAACCTGATAAGTAAGTGTTCAGCCCTTCAGAAGCTGGAGGGAGGGACCCAGTTCGTCAGAGTTTTTCTCCATAGGCAAGAGGACATGGGGGTTAGAGACAGTAGAGGAGAGCTTTGATGATATCAGGAGTGCAGAAGGCTTTAGGGAGCCTCTGGCTTCAGATATACAGAATCAGTTGGGCAGTGAGAAGGGCTGGGCAGAAGCCCTTTGAGGCTTAGGAGCAGAATTTGAATGGGGCTGGACTTCGCCAGGTCTAGCTCCACTGGTATCGGGGATAAAGAATTTTTGGGCAGTGTTGTAAAATACGGTCTTTACTCTGAGGGTCACCTCAAAGCTGTGCACGTATAAGAGGGATGGGATGCACATACAGTTATGGAAAAGCAGGGAACAAGGTCTGAAAGGTTTTGAGAACTGTTGGGCATAGTTACATCTTGGGTCCTTTCTGCCCTCCTCTCTGTGCTGTTGCAACTCTGATGTAAGCGCAGAAGCTAAAAGGTATGGTTGCTATGTGCACAAAAATTAATGTCTTCATTTAGAATTTACAGCAGTTAAGTATAGAAAAAATGAGTAAACAGTAGTGTTTTGTTCAGATATTGTCTCAGACCTGTTGTTACTCTGGTGAAATTTGGCAGAAGTGACTCTGATTTTTGGTTGCCTTAGCAGCTCTGTGATGTTTGGTTGCATAGGAGGTTCCTTCCAGGTGTTTGAACGGCTGTACTGAGATTGCTCTTAGAATTATCTTGCAATTTTTTTGTGTTTTAACTCTTTCTGGGAAACAATTGAACGTTAGATTATTTTGCTCTTCCTCTTTCTTCCAGTCTCCTGATAACTTCCATGGGTCACATTAAACTAACTGACTTTGGACTGTCTAAAATCGGGTTAATGAGTCTTACCACTAACCTCTATGAGGGACATATTGAGAAAGATACCAGGGAATTCCTGGACAAGCAGGTAAGCTGAAACGTTTTGTCCATTGGTGTGGGCGCAGATGCATGCTGGGGCCTTCAGAAACATGATCTCTTGGGCCAGAATCAGAGTTTGCGGAAGTCTGCCTCTCTGCCTTGACTTTGTGCTGTGCGTTGGATAATGAGGGGAAAAGATACAACTGTAATCTCATGTTTCTGCACAAGATTGCATTGTGGTTTTTATACCAACCTCTTGTTGTGGAGTGATGCACTTCAGCTCATAGTTTAGGATTTCCAAGGTGTATTCTGGGCTGCAGTGCAGGTGCAAACAGAAAACAGAGTAGTTCATTTAGGGATGTAACACTGATTTTGCTGGAAGGTTGTTCCACAGTCTCCCCCTTCTGGTCCTTAGAAAGTTCTTGGCAAGTTCCTATAGGTTTGTTCTTGTAATTTTGTCTGATGCCTTAAAAATTGACTTTTATCCCCATGATGTTTGCCAAGGGTGATTCTCCTCCATAGCCTTCATTTTGCTAGGCTTAACCAGCTAAGTTATTTTAGATAACAAGAGAGATTTTCCTCTGATGAATGAATAGCTCTTCCATGCACCTGTTTAAGCTAGAGTTAATCTTTCCTGAGCGTGGTTGAGAGGAACTATGCATTGCATTTTAGGTGAAGGGCCACCAGTGCCTTGTATAATGGGATTAAAAAATCCTGATCTCTTCTGAAAACATCTAGGATTGCAGCTGAATTTTTTTTAGCTTTGTCATGTGTTGGTTCATACTCACTATGTGGTAGACAATGCACGCTCGAGTTTCTGTCTTCCTTTGCATCCGAGAAATGCTGGTTATTGTTTTAGGAATGCTCATTAGTCACTAGATCATGGTCTTGCATTTTGCAGTGTTATGGGCTTTTTGCAACTATTTTGTTATTTGTTGCTTCGAAGCCCAGGGTAACCTAGTTCTTCCCATACGATGTGGTAGCTGTTGTCTGTGCCAACTCTAACTCCCACATTTGAGCCCTTTGTATATAGCTGTAAACGCTGCAGTGAAATCATGCTCTGTTACTGATTCTATCTGTGGAACTAAATTCTGCTAGAAAAGATGTACAAGGTTTATGAAAATCCAGACCCTGCTAGCTATAGCTGTGCCAGTAGAAATCCATCATATAGAGACAGTTATAGACGTGCAGTATGCATTTTTTTCCTATATTCTTTACTGTGCGTGCACCAAAGAACTGCTTAGCCAGCACGTCCACCTTAAGAACATTTAGTAGTGTGTGATATCATCTCTGTGCAGGGAATATGTTCCTCATATAGACTTTTGCAACATAGAAAGAGTTTACAGCCCCAAGTTAGTAGTGGTAAAGCCTTAACTTCCTTTTAAAGTGCTGAGGTGAAAAAAACTAGACAGAAGTAAACTTTGAATTTGGCAATCGGTAGGTTCATTGCTTTCTTGTGTGTTCCTCTTGAGGTCTGCGGGACTCCAGAGTACATCGCACCAGAAGTGATCCTGCGGCAGGGCTATGGAAAGCCTGTGGACTGGTGGGCCATGGGGGTTATCCTCTATGAGTTTTTAGTTGGCTGTGTCCCTTTCTTTGGTGACACACCTGAAGAACTCTTTGGACAAGTGATCAGTGGTGAGTTTTGTTCTGTTTCTGAAGGGCTTTCCAAGTGTGCTGTGAAGTAAAACACAGAAAATGTTGAAGATCTATAGTTTAGTCTGGAAAGTCTAAGTATAAAATAATGTTCTTACTCTAAAATGTTTATATTTCTGTGTCGAAAAGGTAGTATCCAGCTGATTCTACTTCCTGAAAGTTCTTGAGTTGCTTAACACCTTGCTAGATATTTCTATCAGTGTGCTTGGTACAAAAGTCACACGTTTGTAAAAGTATGTAAAAGTATCCTTGTGGGATGGGGGGAGAATGTTTTGGGTTTTTTCTGTCCTATCTGTTAACATATAGGATGTAGAATATGAAAGGAGCAGCTGGCAACTAGTCTAGTTCACTCTGATTTTATGTTTTTCCTTCTGTAGATGCTAAAGTCAGCCAATTCGTAGTTGTTCTACAAACAAAATAAATTCTAAAACAAAACACATTGATGCTGTTGTGCTGAGTGGCTTCATGTCTTGTGGGTTTTTAAACCTGTCTCCCGCTTGGAGTTGGACAAATGCTTGCTTTGTGTTCTCTCAGTGAATATGCCAGTGAAAACGTTTCCTATTGGGAATGCTTTTTGAAGCAGTAAATTTTTTTAAGACTTGGCAAGCGTGCTTTGTGAAAGCAAATTTCAGTGAAGAACTAAATTGGATGCATGAAATGGTTACCTGTGAATTGTTCACTCTGTTCCAAGTATAACTAGTTTGGAGTGTGCAGGCATGAGATACAGCCGCAGTATTGTCACTGTCATTGTTTATGGATTGTCACGGAAGTCCCATTTCATACTTCGTTAAAAGAGTTCTTAATGCCTTTTTTTTTTCTCCACAAGCACTGCTTGGATTGACAGCAGCTTTATTTGAGGCTGAATTTTATGCATTTTGGAAAATGTCAATGCTTTGAATTATATTAAGTATGCAAGCTGCTGAATTCAAGGTATTTGCGTTTCTGGGGCAGTACTGAACGCTGCATCCTATGGTGTAGGAATGTGAATGGTTATTCAAATTGTTTGTGAAGTAGGTAGAAAATGTCAAGCCTCTTTTTCTTCCCAGATGAAATAGCCTGGCCGGATGGTGACGATGCACTGCCACCAGATGCACAGGACCTAATTTCTAAGCTTCTTCGCCAAAATCCTCTGGAAAGAATGGGAACAGGTAGGAATGTTTTGTATGGAAGTGCTCACCAAAAATGGTCAAGAAGCTACCCTGACAGTGAGGCACACCAAACTGAGCTAAAAAACGCTGCTCTAGGTCTGGGAGACAGTTTATATTGGGTTGAATGAATCTTATGAAGCTCTGAGAGTCAGTGTAGATTGTACACGAGTCAGACGGATGTTACTATCTTGTATGGGAAACAAGAGCCACCAAGTGAATTTGCCATCGACTTTGCAACATAACTTCTCAAATTTGGGCTGTTCCAGTTATTATGCTGTCCAAGGCTTTAGGGTCGTGTCTCAATTTGAGCAGTCTACAATCAGATTTCTTTGAAAATTCTCTTTGACTAGGGGAGTAATCCCCTTACATTGCTGTGAAATCATGGGAAAGCTTGTCCGTTCATAGGAGACTCTGCTGTCTCCTATTCTCCAGAAATCCCGAATCTGATAATCTCTTTGTCAAAGTCAGATGCTTATGTCAATCTTTTGGCATTGTAATGTTAAATTTAAACTTCAAGCCAGCCCTTCTATCTCCTGACAGAAAATAATCATCAATAGTCTTGAGCTACCTACCTTACTGTTTAAAAATCATTTGTCCAATGCTGCCGCTTCACAACACAGGTCGTCTGTTTCATTGACTTCATTTGTTTGATTTAATTTTGGACTTTTGATTGGAAATTACATTTTAAGGATAAAATAGAAACTAAGTATATAACAATTCCAAAAGGCACCTTATTCAGCAAACTTAACACAGGTGCCTTCAAGGGTAATGAGCAGGTCATGAGTTAATAGTATAATCAGCTGTTTTTCACATGTTCTTCTTTGCTTCAGATCCACATAGTTGAAAGATGATGTTGTCATGGAAAAGACGTGGAGTTTCTTGCTTTATAAAATGAGTTGATGGGCTGATTTTTTTTTGATTTCTTATACACCTGTGTTGCTGAGACTGCTGTTTTACTTGGCATCTCCTGCTGCTACTGGCACTCAGCAACCCCTTTTTCCTTTCCTCTGCTTTTTTTTTTTTTTTTTTTAAAGACAGTAGTATCTTTTATGAATATGAATTTCATTGAAAAAAATACACATAGTGGCAGACAGATAATCGTTATTTTTTCCTTCTGGGAACCCGAACTTCTGAGGTTAGTAACAAAGATACTAATTTAGGAAGATAAATATTTAAGCTCCTGCCTCCTTTTAAGCACATGGATGACGTTACTGACTGGAGTGGAGCCACTCACGTGCTAAGTAGTTTTCCGAGTCTGCCCTCTTTATTTAGCTATGCACAAAATGGTATTTAGAGTTTGGAAATTTTAAATTAAGATGTTAATTAGTTCTTAATCTTGCAGCTTGGTGTGGAATGTAATGGCAGATGCTATCTTCCAGCCAATTTAGTCATGTATTGTCATTAAATACGAAAAGGAGGCAGGAAAGAGGAAGTCTTGTTCAGTCTTTATACTGTATCACCACTATGGTAAAGGGAAATTCAACATTCTTGGAAAATGAGTCACTTAGGTATACAGGTTTTCTTTCAGGCTTTTGATATTTTTAGGGTTTGTTTTTATTGTTTCGAAAATGCTAGAAGAAGTACTCTGAAATAAAAGATGCTTATTTCAGGTAGTGCCTTTGAAGTGAAACAGCACCGGTTCTTTAAAGATTTGGACTGGAATGGATTACTTCGACAGAAAGCCGAATTCATTCCACAGTTGGAATCTGAGGATGACACGAGCTATTTTGACAGTAAGACTAAAGATTCAGCATAAATTGCCTCATATTTTTGGGGTATATTTCGTTTTATCTTAAAAATTCTTAAGTATAAATCATTGTCAGCTATTGAACAAAACACTTGATGAAAATGCCTTTAAAAAGTTTCTGTTTAATGCCAGATATTGAAAGCAAATGAATTTTAAAGGAAAATGTTGTTGTAAAGTCGACTGATTTTTCACTGGTGCCTGTGGCTCTGCCAGCCATGGCCCTACAGTGAGAGGTGCGATGTTTGTTATATGGGATTTGTTGCAGTACTTTCTCAGCAGGTTGGTATGTCCAACTTCCTTGAGTTTTTGAGCGCTGTTAAAAAAACCCAAAACTGGAACACAAATCAGAAGGGGAGATTCTTTATGGTTTAGAAGTTACTTTAGAAGTATTATGTACGACTTGTGGTATTTCCAGATCAGCCCCAGCCAGGGAGGCATTGCTAATGGGAGGGGATGGTGTTGTGGGTGCTAGAGCGATCTCTGTCCCCATCCTCTACCCCCTAGCTTTTCCCCTTTGACTTGGAGGTGGGGGGCGGGGGGAAGCTGGGCTGGTCACTGGCCGGGGGGTCTTCTCCCTGCTCCAGCCGGAGCACAAGACGATATTGGGATATTTCAGCCTCTGAGTTACAGGAACTTCTGCCCTACTTGAAAGGAATTTCTTCCATCCTCCTCTCAGGGCCTCGTGACCCCACGCAAGCCCCACTGTTGCTCTGCTCCTCTGCTGCGCAGAAGTGGCGGCAAGCTCCCCAAGCATCCAGGCACGCGCAGCACGTTGGTGGGGCGACTTTGAAGCACGCCCTTCGTAAAGGCTGGAATATTCTCATGTCAGGAAATATCTCGCATGGACACTGATAAGAGTTGGCACTGCTGTTCTAAATCCTAATGCAGGAAATTTCAGAATTTATAAAAGTAGCTTTCTGGCTGATACAGTGCAGCAAATTTGGCTCAATACAGCTATCAGCTTTCTGTAGCCAAACTTATTAACCCCCACTGCAAAATCCGGTGTGGCTGGCTTAGAATTAGGCTATTGCAAATCTCAAAGCACAAAATCTCTTTGGAGGCATTTTAGATTTTTGCATTAAAAATTGCTTTGCATATTGGTTACTTGCCTGTTTTAGTTCACAAAATCTAATCATTTTGCTAGTTGTGGGAGGGAGAAGAGGAGCTATTTTGTGGGGTAAATATTTTTATTTTTCAAAGACAACTCGTATGTATGTATACAGGGTGTACTTTGTGCAGTTACAAAGCCGTTTCATTGGAAATTGGGACAGAGTCGATTGCTTCCCTGATTCCTTCCATACTATTGTTTGCCTTAGGAAATACTCTTATTGAGAAGGGTCTGCAGGATTAGATACCTATATGATTTCTGCTGAGAATCAGTGGCTTTTAGAGTATTATATAGCTGAAGACTTGCAATAAATTCAGGAGGTATGAAGAATGAGATATTCTTCATTGCTTGTTGTACAGGATGAGCAAAATTGGCTGGGTGCGTTTCAACACGAAGGAAAATATTCTTCGTGGTGTATGAACACTCGGAGTTCTTTATAGGTAGTCAAGTGGGAATCGGTGCAAAGACTGTTCTTGCATAACCATGTCCTGTTTGAGGGTATCTTATAGGAGTCGTCAACATTTCCTGCACTGATGAAACGTGCCCTGTCTTGTTCACAGCCCGGTCAGAACGGTACCAGCACCTGGATTCAGAAGAGGAGGAGGACACGAATGATGATGATCATGTGGAAATTAGGCAGTTTTCCTCATGCTCGCCGAGGTTCAGCAAGGTAAGAGCGTGCTGAGTTGTTGAAAGAAAAATCTAGAGAGGGACACAATTTCAGAGGCCAGTATTGCTTTGTGTGAGGTAGATTTTAACCATGTGGTTGATAATGTGGGAGCCACATAATGTTTAGTATTCTCTGAGAACTGTGTACCTATTTGTTTCCTCGGTGCTATTAAAAGTGCAAGACTGGTTGGAGAGTGAGATGTTGTATTTTTTAGTTTCACTAATATGTAGGGTTCTGCAGAGGTCTTCCCTGCTTCTGACGCAGTTTAATGTCTTCATTAATGATGCGGAGAATGGCACAGGGAGGTGTGCTTATTTCCTTCAGACAGCATTGTTCTGAAAGGGCCTTCCAGTAGGTGAGAAGATGGTACGAGGATGAAAATTGATTTTAACAGCTTGGAATAATGATCTAAAATCAAAGGGATCACAGGCAGTAAGAAGAGCAAATGCGAAATTCTACACCTGTGCTTCTCATTATTTCAAATACAGGATGAGGAACAAAAGATGAGGCAACTGTTTCAAAGAAAAGGATCTGGGCTTATAGTGGATCGTAAGTTAAACATGTGAAATTATTTAAAAAAGAAAAAAAAGGCAGTTATCGTGCTGGACAAGACAGACTATTTTCGGCAAGGCAAACGAAGAAATCCTTTCCATCTGTTTAGAGGTAGGAAGGGCTTAGAGGATTACTCTGTCCTGTTCTGGGCAATGTTCTTGAAAAGAAATGTGGATCAGTAAAAGGAAGACCTGAGGGAAGGAACAAGAATGATTAGAGATTTACAACATATAAAACTTAAAAGAAAAGCTCGTAGGGAAGTTCAGTCTAGAGCAGAGAAGACTGAGGGAAAGGCAAGAGAGCAGTTTTCAAGCATAAAACTGCTAGAAGGAAGGGAATAGATTTTTTTTCCTCTTTTATCCGGAAATGACATGAAATCATGGGCATAAACTGCCACAAAAGAGTTATAGGATAGATGGTAAGAAAAAATTTCCAATGTTGAAAAATAATTAAGCCCAGGCACTGATTCCCTGGGGAAATTGTAGAAGTGCCGTCACTGGCGGCTTTTAAGAACAGGTTGGAGAAACATCTGCCTGGTGTTCAGAAGAGAGGTAGTTCTGCTTTGAGGTAGGGAAATGGGCAGGATGCCCTGAGGAGGTCCCTTCTAGCTGTACTTTCTGGACTTAATGTGCCTTACTCAGGTCTGTACATGTCTGGAGTTCTTATTCAGGTGGTCTGAAAAAAAGCTGCTATTCCAGACCCTTCAAAGTAGTACAACTCCACCGTTAACTTGGATGAAATGTGTGTTCAGGGAGGGGAAGTAGGAGAATGAAATGCTATTTTGATGTCTGAGCTCTCTCTGAACAGTATTTCCCTTTTCTCGATGAGCATGGGGGTAGGCATTTTATGCAGGGCCTCAGAAAGGTATTTCATTTTTTTGTACAGCAGTATCTCTAGGTTTCCAATACTGAGGTCAGTCTTGAAGCACCAGTTCGCTCTTCTGTGCCCTCAGCCAGGCTGCAGTGGTTTAAGTAACAGTTACCATTGATTTTGTGGAGTTGCTCCTGATTTGCATCACCAGAAGTCTGTTCATAATTGACCTGAAGATGTAATGGCTTTTGAAAAAGTTCTCTCATGAGTATGTAAGGATTTCTCTTTTTTTCCTCTCTTTTCTCACTATGAGTATTTATTCATCTGTTAGACGGAAGCTTTTCTTTAGGGTTCAGTATTTTTGCCACAAAGAGAAAAAGTTCACTTCTAATGAATTTATTTTAAGCCCTGGAAAATTATACAGCATTTGTAGTGTGGGAGGCATAAAAGGCTCATTATATTTTGAAATTCTTGTCTGACAATTCAGCCATATGATTTATTAATAGTTATCTTGTTGATGCTCTGAATTTTTAATAACATTATTTTCATTAATCTCTTCTTATGTAAATTAGGTCTACAGTCAAGTGTAGTTTTAAAAGCATGGATTTTTTTGCTTAATCATTTAATTATTTAAAGACGGCTGTAAAACCAAGAGAGGCACTTTCATTAAGCTGTCAGCATTATAGTAGATTCCTTGAGGAGGGCAGGACTTTTTTGTTCTGAAATAAGCTTGGGGCAATGCTGATAGACTGATGATAATGAAATGGGGTCATGAGCATGATGCCTATCACCAAGATGACTTTGTGTCATAAGATTTCAAGATCCAGATGCTAACCTTCAAGACTCATGGATCCTATTTTAGCAATTTCTCTGCTTAGATTTGAGGATTGCTATTAAAAAACAAAAATCCCTTAGTTTCAAAAGGTTTTCACGTTACTGTGGTGTTGCGCTGTTCACAGAGGAAAGGTGTTGGGTGCTATTGTAAAAAAGCATATTTGATGTTTCTGAAGCTTACCTTTTTCCTTTTCTCCCTGGCGTACTTAGAGCATGTCACACCTGTGCACTGGATTCTGTGTTACTTAGTTGAAGACCATTGCCAAGTTCATGCTTTCAGTGAATATCTGCCATTTTGAAGAGCTCGTAACCCCTTGGACAGGAAAGGCCACGTAGGATTTTCTCTGTTCTTTGTACAGAAGGATCTTTTGGTATGTGCAGGTGTACAGCAGCATGGAGCGTCTTTCCATCCACGAAGAGAGGAAGACTCCGCCACCAACTAAACGGAGCCTGAGTGAAGAAAAAGATGACCGATTAGACAGCCTTGGAGGCTTGAAAAGTCGGGACCGCAGCTGGGTAATTGGATCTCCTGAAATGTAAGTTGAGTAGAAGTGATTTTTTTAGTTTTCTCATAGCGTATGAGAAAGCCTTGTGCCTTTTCCCTGTCAGTCTTAAGTCAGAAATGCTTCATATGGTGTATTTCCAAAGGCAGAGCTTGAAGAGTAGAATAAATAGCAGAAAACAAACGTGTAGAAGTGATATACTCCTTAAATACATCCAGTTAAGTACTAACATCTCCTAAACTTGTAGCAAATACTTCAAATGAAAATAAAGGAATTCTAACCTTAAGTAAAGCCTTCATTTGCAGACAGACTAGTTGTATTGGAGACGTGCCAATAGCAATTTTTTCCTTAAATATCAGTGAATCCAGAATCTGGTGTTCCCTGCATTCTTCTTCTCTGTTGCAACCTAAATGATTAGGAAAGTCTAAATTTTCCAAAAAATCTTTACTTCTAATAAAAATATCTGTAAAATATGTGAACGCTTAGAATTTGTATACCCCACCATGCACCCAGTACGACTGAAATAATTGTTGAACTTCTCTTAAGAAGAGATATCTCCCATTTTTTTGTAACTCCTGTAAAGCTTTTACGCTAAAATTTGGCGTTACAGAGATCATAAGATGTGGCTGTGATCTCATCTGTATGACTCCATTCAGCAATCATTTTATAGGTTATGTGTTTAACTGCTACATGCTTCATCTTGCATCAGGCCTTCCTCGCTTGAAATTTACAGTAATTTTGAAAGCAAAGTTAGCAGTCTAATTCCAAAAGGAATGTGGATGATGATTTGCGTCTGCCCTTTTTTTGGTAATTGATTGACTGGAATAATATTTAATTTCATATTCACTGTATTATATTTTTGTTTGGTTTTATTCCTGCTTTTCTGAGAAGGTTCACAATGGAATATTTTGGAAATCTAAACTCAGGTGATGCTTCAAGCCTTTGCTGGTTTATATCCTAATGATGTAGCTTGGTCTCCCAACTACATCTGAAATGGCCTTCAGGTGTTGGAGTTGGTTCTCCGCACTACTTTTGTTCTGCCATTGGCCTTTTGCAGTTCGTTATTACTGTAACGTAACCTAGAGACTCTGTCTTGTTTTTTCTCCTAGACTGCGTAAGCGCTTGTCTATGTCCGAATCCTCGCACACGGAGAGCGACTCCAGCCCGCCCCTGACGGTGCGCCGGCGCTGCTCGGGGCTCCTTGACATGCCGCGGTTTGCCATCTCAGCTGAGGAGGAGGGCAGCGTGCTGAAGCGGCCGCAGTCGGAGGGGATGCTGCTGTGCGCCGGGCAGGCCCGCGAGGGGCTGCCCGTGCCCATTCCGGAGCAGCCTGTGGGGCAAGAGCTGCAACCCGAGGGCGCAGCGGGATAGTGCCTTGACGCTGACAGGTACGTACATAGGCGGCGTGGTGGCAGCGTAGTCCCAAAGGGAGCCGTTTCCGTTTTGCAGAAATGAACTGGGTAGCAAAGTGGATGTGGGTGGTCAGGGGCTGCGGTTATCTCATGCTAAGTAGTACTTCAGTATGGTTTCGTGGCTCTGCTTGCCTTTAAAGTGACATCAGTTGTTTAATCTTCTCATGCTTGAGACCCATTTACTCTTAATAGGATCTGCAGAATTTTTTAAGCAGTAGTCAGAGCAGGTCACTTCTGAGTTGAGGCTGGAGAATAAGGATGTTTAACTCATTAACAAAAAAGCACTTCCCGTGATTTTCTTTTTTTCTTTTTTCTCTGAAAAGCTCTAGTTTGGAGTAGAGACTTGAAATTTGCTAGGGGAGTGGCTTTTGGGTCAGAGACACGCTATTTGCTACCTCAGCCAAATATACCCGAATTTGGCCAAGTTACAAGTTTAAAAGCATGCAACTTGCATAGATTTAGTAGAGTTGTCTTAAAAGTCAGTGTGTGGATTCTCAGACATCTCTGCCCATCCTGGGGCCCTTCTCCAGCCCTGGGCTGAGCAGCGCTTTCGCCGCATCAGCAGCCCTGGGCTGCTGCTGCCCAAGGCTGAGCCCTGGGTGCTGAGAGATTGAATTGAAGGCAAGGCGGGAGAAGAACAGGCTTGGAGCATAGGTGATGTGGGTGAAATGGTGTTGTCCGGTCAAAGACACCTGGAGCAAGGGAAAGGCTGGACCCAAAAGCTGGTATTTGAGAAGGAGGGCATATTAGAGGAGGCAACTAGAGCGCAGCATTGAGGAATAAGGACTAACTGGATAAGAAAATGAGAAATAAGTTGCTGGGGTAAACTGGGAGCAAGCAGGCAGAGAGATTGTGGATGCATTGAGAGCAGAATGGAAAGGGGTACCGAACAAGGAGACAGAGTGGCAGTGAGACTAGACAGGGACACGTTGAAGGGCACTGAGCAGGTATGATGATGGATTGGCGGCAAGAGGTGGAAAGGCCTTAGAGCAAGCTTGCCTCCAAGCCTGGAGTGAAACCCAAGGTTCCCATCTCTCATTATTCCTCTTCTGCAGTCCTATCTGAATGCAGTTTGCTCACAAATCGTCCGATTTCCCGCTATGGCTGGTTCTCCCAGAAGATGAGAGCCTGGTACTGCTATCATTTATTCGGTTAACTCATTTGAAAGGGGTAGCTGTGATGGAAGTGATCTATCACACCCTTAGATGACACAAGTGCCATGGTGACAGCGTAGGATAGAAATCTTAGCATCTCAATTTCATACTGAAAGTCTAGAAACATGCAAATAAAAATTACAACACTCTCATTGCAAATTTGAGTATCTAAAAGTTGCGATATGCAAAAATGAAGCTTCTCTGGACAGCCTGCTCCCGTGCACATTAGAACGGTCTTTAATTCCATGCTCCTCAGAGCTTCCAGTGCCTCTGTCAGTGCCTGGCGTTCAAGGATACCGTTGCTGTAGTGCATCCCCTGCCTGCAAAGTAAAGCCAGAGGCAGGGGATTGCAGGAAAAAGAATTTCATTCCTGTCACTGCCTCGGAGGGCTCCTCTAATGCGTAATTCAGCCTTTTCACACGCAGCCTCCCATTCTGAGTTCCTCATTGTCTGGGAGCCTAATTTGAAACTCTGTAGCTGTTAAGTGTTGAACTGGCATCTGGTACTGAAGTCCATGGGAATGGTGCTCTGGAATTTCTGTGCTCGTGGTACTTCCTGCTTTTAGTATGCACAGCAGTGGTGCCCATTTAAATAACAGTGATCAATGTTTTGTTCTGTCCTCATTGTTCAAAATGTGGCCCTGAGGCTTTATTTATTGCACGCTGTTCCAAAGTTGCTTTTGAAGAGAGAATGATTAATTTCCCTGGTGGACTTGCTGCAGTTGCTCAGCACTTGCATTTCTGAGCAACTTTGCAAGTTCCAATTAAGGTATTTTCACAGTGCTCCTTTAAGGTATCGGCTGGGGAACTGAGGCACAGAGCCTGAGGACGCCCTCCCCACTGCCTCCAGTATCTGCTAACGTTGCATGCCCAGTCTGGGAAGCTTGGCCTGATTTTGCAGATTACTTTGCGTTTCATATACGATTATAGAAGGTTAAGTAATTCAAGACTCAACTGTGATGGTGCACAGAAGGGGACAAATTAAGATGAAATCCAAATTTTTACTTTCCCTGACTTTAGTACCTTAGTATTCTCTTAAAGTGGATTTTTTTTTATGTGTAAGTACAATAAAATCTGATTCTTCTATTACAGGCAGGTTTTAAGTTCAAGACTGACAGTTCTTACTGGTTATAAAAATGGAGCGCTTGCCGTAAACTTGTTTACATCTGTGAACAATCCTGTTGAAATGGCTTGCTTACGTGCAGAACTGCTCCATGGATTTAGGACTCATGCAACTCTGCTGCTGAGCACTGTGGTTTCATTAGCAAGCTTTTCCAACAGAACAGAAGCTGCTAATTTTCTGTGTTCAGAATAACACCATTTCTGTAAATAAGAATTCAAGCCCTGGGGTTTCTTCTTAGGAAAATTTACTCTTGGACTTCATGTAAACATGACTTTGATTTAATGTATTTTGCCTGTAGGGGAATAGACTGTTAGGAATTCCCTGTGGTTCTAATCTGTTTTAATTTAAACTGTAGCTGGGAGCACTGCAGATTTCTCTGATCCACGCGCTCGCAGTAATAGCAATGAAGGCCCAGACTTTACCACTCCAAAAGCCATCAGCGATTTGGCAGTGCGGCGGGCACGGCACAGGTTGCTCTCTGGGGAATCAGGGGAGAAACGTACCTCAAGACCTGTCAATAAAGTGATTAAATCAGCATCCGCTACTGCCTTGTCTCTCCTGATTCCCTCAGGTAAGAAATGCCTTGTGTTAGGCATTGTGAGAGTCTGCAAGCACCGAACAAAAGACCTGCAGATAGGTCCTCCCCCTTCCATCCTCCTGGAGGAATGC